TAAGACCTTTTAAGTGGGTATTTTTATAACAGTCAAATTATTGTCTGCTGCGGTTCAATCGCGCATCTTGCCACTCAAACTAAATGAATTTAAAAACTTCATTGACAGGGTCCGAACTTCTGCATCGATTTTAAAATTATTGGCGTACATTTTGTCGTTAGCTTCTGGCCGTCAAAGACATGCATAAATCATATGAAGGTATTACACCTATTAAAGAATCTGGGTACAACACCCGAAGAACATTAGAAGTACAATCGCTACTATATCGCGTGGCGCTGTCAACAAACTATTAGAACATTATAAAAATCCTTATAGAGAGCCTCGGTTGTTGCGTAGAGGAACACGTATCGGTTGAGAACGTAAACGCGGTAAAGTTGAAGAGGAATATGCTTTACTCGGAACGAAATTGGCTGCAAAGGATTGCAACAAATCTTGCCGCCGCTATGAGTATAACAGGCAGGCACATGCAGACAGTTCGATGTCTCAATGTTGATATACGGAAAACCAAATAGGTCAGAGACCAGAAACACAACATCTGAAATATGAGGTTCTAGAAGCAGGAGTACAGAAAAGAGGTAGCTGTATTAGAGAAGGCCTTGTTAATCCCCGTAATAGCGAATGGGTAATATTTGTGCCTACTAATCTTAGAAAGATGTTGTGGCCTAAGTACGACTTCTAGCATAAACGCACTTCATTTCGTGCTAAGAGCCAATTATCTGATGGAATCCTTAACTGCGATGCCGCACGTAAAACTTTAAATATAGAGGATTATTGCAAACAACCTAGTTTGCATAAGTGGTTCCATAAAACCAACCTTTCAATGGCAGGAAGGGATCCTTTTTAGACCTTGCTGTTCTAGGCACAGGTTTGATTAAAATAGTCATTTAATGTTAGATGCTTTAGAACGAAGAAGATATCAGCGATTATAACTACATAGATTTCTTCCGTAGCAAAGAAAGTAACACAGACCAACTTCCCTAGCTAGAAACAGACTCAGATTAAAAAACCCTGAAGTCATCAAGGAGGTACTCCTAAAATTTCTGGCCCAACACGCCCACAAAAGACGAGGAACGGCTTCATATAGCATTCAGCAGGGCCTACTGCCTGACCAGTGCCCCTACGATACTTCCCAAAACACAAAGCCAATGAAATCAAAATGCTGGTAAAGTACAGCTATTGTTTATGCTAGAAGGACGACTTTGCAGGCTCGAACAGGTACCAAGGAAGCCAGGGAGGATTGTTAGAGCTGGGGTCGACATATTAAGAGCAGTGCGAACAGTAAAAGGAAATACTAGCGGGAGTTACTCGAAGTGTTTAACAAAAATTACTGAAGCCACCCATATTAAGTAATCTGACGCAAAGTCACAAACGTTCTCACGGTCTACGTTCCCTAGCAGAATCAAATTTACATTCTGCGTTAATTATTGTTTCAGCATGAAGGCTTCACACATCAAGCATATGAACAAACGAGTCTTGATTTGGGGATACCCAACTCGTCACAATCAATAAAGGAAGAACTCTCACCCATAGAACTGAAAAGATGTTTTTGGTCCGTATGGCATATCTTCGAATCAGTTAAAATCCGGCAGTTTCTGGCAGTAGCTGTGGACATAGCGGAAAAAATCCTTAACAAGGGCAAACTACCCAAAGACTCAAACAAAGCGGCGTTGGTATTGAAACCAAAGGGAAATAGGGGATATAGATTTATCTGCCTAACTAACAAACACTTCTGCCAAAACTTTTGAAGCGTAAATCGATAAACGTTCGAAAAGAATACTGGTTAGCATAGTTTGGTGAAAGCATAGTTTGGTGCACTGAAACGGGTGGTCCAGAAAACTGAACGGGTGTGTAGCTTATTCTAAAGATCCGCAAAATCTATTCGTCAGTACTTGTAGATGTCACTAACACTTTCAACAGTGTTCCATGGAGAATAATTCCCGATAGCATGATCAGATAAAGGGCCGCCTATATCTGACCCAATATTACTTAATTATACACAACACAACAAAGTCACGAGTACGAAGACCTGCATGGATACGAAGTCGACTGCCCCACAAAGATCAATTCTCGGGCTGCTCTTGTAGGACACAGCGTATAAAAATGTCTCGAGTGTATGTACTCGGGACGGTTTAAAGTTGAATGTCCAAAACAGACTTAAAATTCGCTCCAAAGCCAATCTAATTGAAAAGGAAAAGGTACGAGCAATCGGTCTTCATAAACGGATCAGATAAATAATGTAAGATATCTGGAAATATATTTGGACAAAACATTTCATGGTAGTTCACACATAAAAAGAGTTACAGCTGTAGCAGGTAAAGTAGCGATAGCAAAAAATTATTCCAGACATTTATAGACCAAAAGGCACAGGCCATCAAAGGCCGCCGAGTAGATCGCTTTATTTGGAGCCTTGCCATGATCGAATAAGGCGTCGTACATGAGGCAGAACAGAACGCTAGCTCGCAAGACCCAAAGAATGCTTGTCTTCCGCATTACACAAGCGTCTCGTACGGCCAGCACCTCTGCAGCACTATTAAAAGCTAAGAAACTATCCTATTACCAGAAAGTGAGGAAAGGAAGAGCCTATGGCCAAAGCCGGTGAGTCGATAGAAACAAAGCAGATGGAAAAACACGTAACCAAAGAGAAAAAACAGCAAAAATGGCCATTCCAAGGGGAATCACTGATCAAGGACTTCATTCCAACAATAAATAAGTGTCTAGACCGCCCGGACGGACAAGTTAATTGTTTCCTTATGAAAATTTTAACAGAATACGACAACTTTTGATGTTAACTAACCAGAATCGGTGAGGCCTGTCATAGATTTGTGTCTACTGTAACCTAGAAGGAGTTAACAATTCAGCCCCACCTTGCTGGTCTATTTGAAATTGAAGTAGCAACAAACGCACCAAGGAGGAACGCGGAGGCAAAAACGACCCGAGACTGCGACTTGATAGGCAAAACATCCCTAATGAAGAAGCCCTCCCTGAAGGAGGGCATATAACGATTAATGGACAAATTATGCAGCATTATCGGCAGCTGATAAATTTCTTCAACGATTGCAGTAGAGCTATCGAAAGTAGAAAGAGGGCTTGAATAGAAAAAGAAAGCCAGATTTAACGCAAGCGATACAGCTGCAGATGAACCATAGCGCGTTAGAAAAGGTGGAGAATCCTAAGTGGGATCCCGGATTGATTGAGGTAATCGATTTCTTTCATCAGCCCGTAGTACTTTTCACGACGATCTGGGTTGGAACAATATTCTAGGTGCAAAAAAAAGATAGTTTGCTGGCTTGGGCAAAAAGCCACGTGTTTCGAAAATAAAGCTACAGTTTGTACGGTAAAGGCGGCACCAGGCGTCAAAACTAAAGTAGCGCCCAGTACGAACCAAGGGTCGTCATCTTCCTGAGAAGAATGCAACCGTCTATCCTAGTCGAGCTAGAGCGCCTTATCACAGAGTAAATAATAAGAGACATAAGGAGAGTTACTGAAGCTCCGAGCATAACTTTAATCGTGAGTCACTTTGAGTAGTTAAGTTGAAGTTTTTTTTATCCTGTGATGCTGAGATTTTATCCAATTGTTTGACGAGACGAAATTGTAGATAGATCATATAATCATATTGCTTATCTAATTTAAAGGTCTTTCAATTTAGCATACATGTCGGCATATTTTAACTCTTCAACCTGCCACCAGGTCAGGCTGATTCTTGTAGTATAGCGCCAACAACCGGATCATTTTGTTGTAATATTAATATTGTTACCTTAAAAAAATACGCACAAAATCACAAAGATGAAATTCCTAAAAGCTCCCGAGTAATAAAAATTTGTAAAAGCAGCTCAGGCAAGATACAACTAGATCTACTTGAACACTAAAAACATTAGATTAAGTTTGAAAAAAAGATTCTACTGTAAGTTGACTTTTATTAAAGTAGAAACGAAACCAGTGACGATTCATAACAATTGGTCTAGCATAAAAAGCTAGACCAATTGTTTGAACTGATCTTGTTCATGGTTATAATTATTTGATCCATAGTGTCGATTACGGTCACTGATAGGGTCGGCTACCAGTGGTAACTTATACTGGTAATAGAAAAACCACAGAAAATTTCTTAGATCCAATAAAATAATACGAAATGTGAAAAGGTTGAAACATCATAAAAAAATAGTTCTTCAAATTCTGCTTTGACAATGCGTTAACCTGTGTGCTAGCTCCTTGAACGACATGGTGCGTTCATCCGCATAGAAAAATTAGACTCGTTGGGTCACTGAAGAATCCAACAAAAACTATTTCCTTGAGAACATCACTACGAAACATTGATCCTCATCCATAGAGGTGGGCTATTCTGTATACGAAACCATTAGTGTTCTCTTTTAGCTGTACAGATAAACTACGCTGCGGTCGACCCTTTAAGAGAGTAATAAGATGCTGTTATTAAATAAAAACATTTTATAATTCACTTTTTAGCTACTGATCAGGTCTGAAAGAGCAAGCAAGAGAATGAAGTTATATTGCATATAAAATCTTACAAAAGAGATATCTCGAAAAAACATATTTCGAGTGGCTTCACAACATTTTAAAAACTTTGATACTTTATGATGAATACTTTTTGCCGTAATTGATTGTTAAACATTATCCAAAATAAGGCTACTCGAAAGGCATCAACCTTAGCGGCAAACGTAGCTTTATATCCCGTAGATATTCTTTTGAAATCTCTGTAAATATTTGATATCATTGTTCGGTTTTACACCATATTGAGAATCTGGAACAACACCTAATATCAATGCTGTTTAACAATTGAACGATGCGTAAGAAGTGGATTAGAACAAAACCTGTTACTATGGTTTCCTAAAAACACCATTTATTCATTTCCCTTGTTTTTGTACCTAAGTATAATTCTTATTTTCTTCGTTACTCTTTGTACATTTTCTCCTAATAGAAAAACACAGATCTAGTAATATGACACAGAAATAGAAAATCAGCTCGATATAGAAAAAACACATTAAAAACCCATGCCACAATTTTATTTAAACCTAATGTTCATCATTTTTATTCATCTCTAATAGCTCAAACTACAGACGACTATCGAATTGTCGCTGACCGCTTCCATGACTCAAGATCAAACACACGATCATACGTTGTCAATTGGTTTCATTTCAAATACTCCGTTCGGTAGCGTTGCCAGATGTAACAATGAACAACACTACAGCTGATCTCCTCAAATAAGGAGTGCATAAATATCTTGTGAAACAAAATCTCCAGCACAATCATAATAGTCTATGTGTGTACACTATATATAAAGTACTTAAATTCAAACAGACTGACAGGCTATTGGTGTTAGCTTAGATGTACGCCTTTGCCATCTCTGGTGCAACTAGGAAACCTGCTCTCGCTAGAATCAAATAACAAGCCCGCCGTAATGGATAGCAACGCGTCGTTTTTAAAAATTGGACAAAAATAAGCTAGTGGAAGCTGGAAGAACGAAAATTAATCAAAATGGCTCGAAAATCTATTTTTGAAAAACCTGGATTTTTCATGCAGGAATGACGGCCATTTTGAAAAGAAAAGTATAGATTGTCAATTAGGTAGCCCAGATGAGCTCCAACGGTTACTTTTAAGATCCCTTGCGCTTTTGTACATTTTTCGGGTCTATGTCTCTTTTGCACCCCTATATTTTTGCAACCTCTGACATGGTGCCCGCCGAAAATATAAATTTAGTGTAATTTTTTATATGTAATAAGTATCTGAAGGACATTTTTTAAAGAGTTCATACCTACCAATATCGCTTGTTCTGCGGTTACTATTGGAAGGTTATTTGCAGATTGATACTGGAATATTTTGAAAATGACTAGTAAGTGGTTTAGGCCTCGAAGTGAAGCTGTAATTACGGTTAATGGTGGTACTATGTAAAATAAACATGGCCGTGAGGGACAACATTTATAGCACCTGTAAAAGATTTCGTTTTAATATACACGACTATGTACAAAATTGTCACGGCCACCCTTGGCCTGCTTCGTGTCGTACGTCATATTTGCTCGCATTAAACGACCCCGATTCACTTATTGTATCATTATGCTTCTCCTAGGAAATACACTGCTATACAAAAGTAAATTAAACCCCTTTTTGGTAATATTTATCTACCTCTAAAGTTTATTTTAAACTTTAGAGAGTCTACAAGCTTTTTCAATATTTTATTGAAAAAGCTTGTAGACAACCCACTGGACATAATCGAATCCGGCAGTCTCAGTCGCTTTTGTTACGGTCAGGAACTCGTTTAGATATTTTCGAAACAAAACGTACTCTGTCCAACGCGGAATGCAATAGCCTAGCAAGTCTATAACTGTATCATAGTGTAATACGTTATCCCAAGACTAATTCATAGTTTGATTTTCCGCTGTAGGATGTAGATTTAATCACGAAAAAACCTAACCTGGCTTCAAAAACAAACATTCCACGGGGCAGCACACATGTTAGCCTCCATTTAGTCGTTATTTTAGTATTTCTGTAAATTGGTGTACGCTATTATCTTTTTAGCATAAATGAAGCAATTTCATAACACATTGAATATTGTGAATGTTATGATTTGATTTTAGAACGCATTGCAAGGCTTACTAGCATATCTTACACATAGTATACAAATAACAGTTAATATATTAAAATTAATTAACTGCACACGCAACAAATCTGTAACGACCAATCGGCTTCAATAATACAGTAAAAAGGAAATGTAAAAATCACAGAATTTTAATTCATTATTTTTGTTCGCCAAACTTCAGTGCCTGTTGTAGACAATATACTATCGATTCACGCGGTTATCCTTTGTCGGTAATACACGATGTGGCTCCACTCAGTCAGTGAACGACTATCTTGATTAGGCCAAACTTTATTAATTGTTCAACGATGGGCAAGTGCTTGGTTCTGTAAGCTACTTAATTGCGTACCGTGACAAAATCAGTGAGCATCTGAATAGTTAGTATTTACATATGAAGTCAAGTCTATACATAATAATATTCCCTGTATACGAATTACTAAACGCTTCTAAATATTATCTGCTTTTATAACTTCCCAATGTTTCCGCTCGTCATATCAGCAATATAGAGTGTATCCCATGATCGCATGAGCTTTCCCCCTTTAACAGCTTGAGTTTACATATCATCGCTTTCACATACACGGTACACCGTTTCGTTGAGATACTCATCAGGGTCACGGTCTTGATCTGTCACGACCGATGCATCTGCATTTGTTTTTTTTTGAAAGACCCTGACAGGCACAAATGATGTTTCTTCAGAAAGTGGCAACAGTACGATTTTCTTCACTCCGTACCATCTTCCCTAAACAAATAAAAAGGAAGACTACGAAAATTAGTTGCTTATTTCAACTTGCTCCATTTAGCATCTCGAAGAAGGTACATTGACTGAGCGGAGAGTCTGTATTTTAACCCGCTGTTGTAATAAACCTACACAAACTGCCTTCGTGTGATCCCATTTAAAAAACACATTAATAAAGGCTAGTGTCGCTCACGTAACTCACGCCTTTTTACATTTCCCTTTTCTTTTGAGCAGATTACTCAGGAAAGAGTACTACTACTATCGGTAGAATGGTTTGGCGGCTTAAAACACTAAGTTATAAGTTTATTTTGTATTTGTCAGTAATTTTGCTATTGTTTTAAGTTCGTCGACCACGAGTCTCAGACCCGTAGCAAATATTTGGGAACCCACTTGCAACTGAGGTAGCGTTTGCCTGCCTGCTCGTGGCAAGCTAAGTGCCTTAATGTCTGCTCGTAATGACAATACGGTTACCATCGGCTAAAGAACTTCGGCGGTCACATGAACACTAAGGCGATCCTCAGGCCATACGGTTCCCTCAGGCCCTCCGTCGGGATTCACATCTAATCTAACCGCCTAAAACGAATGAAATCCGTACAACAGGCTTACATTAATAATTTCATATGTAGGGATTCTTATATATCTAGATTTAACTCACGTATTTTCAGTCATTCACGTTTCTGACATTATTCTGCACATTAACTATTTGCCCTCTGAATTTTGCATGCATAAAGTAAATATGCACACTCTTAAACTTACCTCGATAAAATCTCTGCAGATTTTGAAATAGCCTCTACATTGCCATGTTTGGTTATGCCCTCCACTTTCAAAGGTTGCTATACGCTAGAATAAAAAAGTAAAACAGATAAACAAATTAACAAGGTGTAATATTAAAGTACTGCAATTCTAAAATGGGAATTTTTGTTCTAATAATTAGTATTACCAAGTCTGACAAGTGCTTTGGCCCATGTATCGTAATTTTTGTTCTAATAATTAGTATTACCAAGTCTGACAGCTGCTTTGGCCTATGTATCATAAAATAGCTTACCCGAAAATTTGCCGGGCATTTCGTGTATAGTGCACGCATCATGGCAGGAGGTATTAAAGTATCTGCGAGTCCTGAAACAAACAGCGTTGGGCAGCGAACTCTGCTAATTCGATCCTCGGAGGCAAACACGTTTTTATAAAATAAACGAGGCACGTATCTTATAGCCTTGTACGGAACGATCACCTGTTATTGGAAACAATGACAAGGACAAATTTCAGCCACAACTGCCGAGGCAACAAAAGCGTTCTATTCCATGAATCGAATTACCAGTGCTTTCAGTTATTAACTTAATTTAGAAATTGAGAAGTATATGCAAAGCTTAGTATTCTGATTGACACCATTACCCATATGTTAATATCTGTGCTAAAACTAATAAATACGCGGTTTTGTGTAATAACAAATTTATTCTAAAATATTCTCTAGCAAATTAAATTCACGAAAATATGAACGGTTACATTCTTGAGCGTAATCAGTTTACTGTTGAGCTGTACAAAGTTTATTGCTTTTGGGAAGTGTTGCGATAAGGTGGCGGCCTACAACTCCATCGGGAGACATTCGAATAGGAGTATTGCTAAAACATCTCACAGGATGCACAAACGAAAGTAGTTACATGAGATTAAGCCCGCACAATAATGCAAAGGACTCTTTTTTATGACTCAGATTGAATATCGTTTCCTCGATAAGGTCGTGGCGTATATCCACTGCGAACCACTAGCCCATGATTTTGGCTTATATGGCGGTTCCTTGTAAAGAAGTAAGCTTACACTTTTACCACCGCATGAAATATCCTTTGACACTTCCATCAATGTTAATATGAGGTGGGCCCTAAGCTTTAATAGCTATGTAGTGACAAGCAAATATACCGACCTAAATCAGTCTAATAATGGGGATCATCAAGAATACATGTTACCTGCAGTTCAGCAAACCTGACCTTCGCTAGGGACGGAATCGATGTGAACGTATTTTCTAGGATGACACCCGCCAGCTTTGATGAATATTTCTGATGACTAGCCACGAAGATTGCTACCGCACCACCTAAAGACCTGCGACACATGAAAGGTCGAACACATCAGTACGATACTTCATCCGTTTAATAATTAGGATCTATGTTACAAAAAAGATTTCAACATACCTGCCAAAGATAAATATATATCGCTTGTCAATGCTGGGATGATTTAGCAGGAAGTCCATTCCAGCCAGCGCGTCGCGATACAAGCCCGACTCCGAGGGGCTACCCTCACTTCGGCCATAACCTCTGAGGGTAATTCCGTTTACACTGCGTTAGAATGTACTGGTCTACTGGATGGATTGTTAATTCGTATTTTGACTTGTATCCTCTTCACGGGTACAGAGATAGCGGTATGATCAATCTCGAACAAGTGTTTTTGACTATGTGATGAGTATTATTACATTAGTAGAATATACATAATTATTTATTCCTAAATCTATTCGATAGCGTAGATAGACTGAAAAGATAACGTGGTATGCTAAAAATCGGCCTGAATAGCTTAACAGCTTTTACTTATCTCCCACCGCACACGTACCGATACTCCAGAAGGAGAATGTTCACTTTCGAAGTGTGGAACATGCCCCTCGCATGTGCCAAGCGATGTCCAATGTTTCCGGCATTGCCGTGGAGGTACAGTACTGTAGGAACGGACTCAAAGCCGTTTTCTCGTTTGATCAGGAAACCATGAAGACGCACGCCGTCCGATGTTTTTATGGTCACCTAATAGCCGATAATTTATCACAAAAAAAAAGCTCTAGACTTGCTTTAATAATAGATATGACTATTCCCAATGAATTCGTGGTTCCAAAAAGCATTATCATTGCAAAAAAATGCTCTTGTATGAAAAACATTCACCTGGTCGTAAATTTTATAAGCATATGTAATTTTCTGAAACTAAACGCTGGTATAATAATAATAATAATAATAGTAAGTTTTGTTTAACAAAAATTGAAGCTGTCATTGCTACGATTGACTTCAGATTGTTATGTCGAGCAAGCGAAGTAAATTATCGGCAAATAGGCCATTCTGTACACGATTTCGGCGAGTACTAGCGCGGGATTGTCAGCTAAAGTATATTGTAATTTTGGATTTGTATTTTACAAATTGTACTGTGTCCTACCTCTTCAAATGGAAGATTCACTGCGGAAGGTAAGTTAACCTGCGAGCGTGATGTCTCTGGCTGTTCGGGATGATAGAGCAGCTGATCGCAGATGTTATATAGTGCTCGCATCGCACTTGCCACCATTACTCCTATTGCCTATAAAATATTAGGCGACGGCATAATGTTAGAAAAATGTTCCTTTTTAAGACTGAAATTGCTGGTCATATAATTCAGCTATGTCTTAGGCATTTGTACGATTCTACTTATCATTTTTTCGTACATTTCGTTTCTTCGTTTTCAATGTTTTTTTTTGTTAACGCCTCGATTTGTTCATTGTCGGTCTCCCTGAATACAGTAGATTTTTCTGACTTGCTTGATCTAAATAGTTTAAAACAAGCCAGCTCCCAGCCTTAAGTTCCTCGGGCACTCAACTTTCGTAAACGCACTGCGGTACGTCTCGTACTCCTTTACTGGAATCGCAATTTTTTAGCTTTTTTGTTTTCATTACAAACATACAATGTTTGCAATATATTCACGCGGATCCACTTACCAAGAATCCGCTAATGTAGAGATAGACCAGAAAAGCAATTAACAATGTAGGGCCACACTTGCGTCCCGCAAGAAAACAGGCAACACTGATGAGTTGGGCAACTAGCTTTAGCAGATGAAACTTCTCCCGAGCACCAGCTGCCGAAACACCGGCTGACAGGTGCGAGTGTGGGATCGGCAACTCTGAGTAAGCGACCTTAGAAGGCTCCGATGCTCCCGGGCCAGTGGGATCTTCCGTAGGGATGCGAACATACCTGTCAGTGGAGCAAGTGAAAGTTTTTATCTCACTCGTTTGTTTAGAGATAGTTATGACGGCAGTAGATGGGCGCTTCTTGTTGTAGTTGACCAGCATCAATCGATGTAAGCAAATACAATCAAAACATATAGACACCACGACAAATAATCAAAAGTAACGCGATTTTGCCTTCAACGGTGCATCGTACGTGCACTTCATTATTCGCGTAAACTCTCGCGCGAGCGTTTTGTGATATTCAATGTATGATTGGGCTATTTGAAAACAGTTTTTGCTTGTGATTTAGAACAGCGTTTGGACATAATGGCATTATTTCTGATGGTTTCGCCACTGAAAACTAAAAGCAGCTGGTTGCGTCACATCAGTTGGATGAAGGCTTATCAGCCTTATACCTTATATATCAGCCATATACCTCAGAAACAACCATTTGCTTCGAAGGCCTCGTTTTTCATTTCGTACATTCTCTTCTCGCTCAAAAAGACATTGCGATTGCTACCGCGCAACAACGAGCTAACTCAGAGCTCAAAACTCCTAATACTTTGTTCCACCATACTTATCCTAGGAATTTCATTTGAAAAGATTGTAGCTTATTATTTTTTATTAGGTTAAAAGCCAGGCACCACTATGGGCGAAACAATGTTCTTTCGCTTGGCAATATGCATATTTGTAACCCAATACAATGGCATGTAATACCCAGGGATTAAATGTATTTAACTTCACATTTAGGCTGCTGGATTTACTTAAAGCTAAGAATATCACATTCCAAAATCTATTTTCAATGTGGCATTACCCCTATTTTAGTTGTTCTAGTGCTGCGAAGCTGGAAAATTTGCAAAGCCTGGCAAAAGTAGTTCCTGCAAAGACCTGGCTTTGGCACGTTTTGAATAAGAAGAAACTTACGCTTTTTTATTTTTTTTTTACAGAATAAAGAAAGCGCATCACTATTACTCGTATCTTCATACCTGACGCCCTGCTTGCTAAAGAGCTTCGTAATGGGAATGTCAACGATATGGACTCCAGGCGCAGGTCGACCGTCACCCACCTGTCAATAATAGCAAAGCAAAGTAAAGCAATAACCAGACCAAATACAATATTAGTACCTCATAAAAACTAAATCCGGCATTTTTTCGTTTTCAGATCAAAAACATTCAAATCAAACTATGCTTGCACTACTATAAACAAGCTAAGTAGATATATAGATTCTTTGTGTTCGTTCGAAGGAACCTGTACTGTCAATGGAAACGAGGTAATTTCGAACAGATTTGGCAAAGATAACAACCGATTACTGTTTTCGATCTTATACCTTAGCCATGAGAAGGCGCAATCGGCTCGAAGCTCTCTGGCAGTCTCAATAAATACTCGTTTTCTAGCCGGAAGAGGTGGTAACGATTAAGAACGGAGCGCTCTCTATTAATTCCGAGTTCCGTAATCGCAGTAATGGTAACGAAGGTTGGCTCGAAGCTGCAATAAGCGGAACTTTTGTTTGACGCAGGCTTTAGGTTAGTGATCGTTGAAGTTGGAATCTTAGCTTGCGTGGTCTGAAAGTATGCCGAGCACCACCAAGAAGCCATCGCCTTACAGAAAACAATAGTTCTCCGTGAACCTCTGTAGCCAAGCGTAGCATCTGGTGGAGTCCTCACAACTCGTGGATAGGTGAAGCAGTGGTGACGGCTGCCTTAAAGCTACTTCATGTTCTTCTAAGGCTTATGATGAAATGTATGTGTCACATTTCCGCAAGACAGCCAGATAAAGTCTCATAGTTAAACTGAATTAACGAAATAGCTGTAGGTTAGGCAAATTCCACTGAACCCTCCGCAATCTTGTTAGTAAGGGCGGAACCTGGAAGAAAAAAGCACTGCCATATTATGGATTTGTACATATTTGAAATGGTAAGAATATTTTTTGGTTATTTTGGGTTTTCTTTATCTTTATTGTCTTTTAGAATTATGACCTTTGAAGGTCATAATTCTAAAAGACAATACCATGAAACAATGGTGTAGAATCCACGTTATAACTTACACACGATGAGGTACGACGGCTAAATTTTTTTTGAATAGTTTTAAGCATTCTACTCTTTCAATGTTATTTAAATACTCAAGTGTTTCTGACACCACTTTAAATAATATACACGAAATATATTAAAAGAATGAAAAGCCAGCACAATCAGGGCCATAATATGTCAAACGAATTGTAGCATTTTTCGTCAATTCATTACATTGTATTTACGAATAACTAATAACAGCTCGGGGAAAGCCACTTTAATAAGGCATAATTATATAGTGCGATCCAATAGATTTGCATAAATTACTCTGTTAATCAACAAAGTATTTAAGCAGTGAATAGATATCAATGAACGAAGGAAACACTATATACCAAAACGTTCTTTTTTTCACAACGGAGGTACAAGATAGAAAACGAGGAAACTGACGCTCAGAAAAAATCTGACGCCGCTCCTCCAACGTGGATAAGTGAGCCTCGTTAGATCCTTGAACCGACTTCATTTTTTAATTTAATGTGTGTGGTGTCTTGATACTAGACCTAGATCTATCCCATCAGCTACGGCTAAGTATAAGAGGAAAATATCAGAGGAAAGTATAAGAGAAAATTCTTTAACTGAGACACTAAGCGAATTTTATTTAAAAAAAAAAGGGATGTTTGTTATCCGCATAGACACCATAATGGAGAGCGGAGTTTTTACTGGAAAACGTTACGTTTCAACAATATTCAACGGGAATGATAAACGCTATTAACCGTCATGCATATGACCGGATTATTTGGGAGATGCATTGAGCTAATCATTATTATCGTAGGATTCAATGCATACGGATAAGTAGCGCTCTCAAAACAGACGTCAACGGCACCAAACATATACGAACGCTTATACACATCGCTTCTTTATAAAAAGTTTGCTTTCCGTATAATTTCTATGAGTTCAAGGTATACTGACAACAGCGAGCCACACGGCGGCGCAGATCGATTTCTCTAGGCACTCTAATTTCCGAGAATGCCTGTAAGATTTACAAACACGTAACGGCCGTCTTCAACGGGGTATGCACATTTATAAAACTAAACCAGTTGGCCTTACGATGAATTCTGCAAATTGTAGTTAGACATTCGTTCGTTATAGACCCTGGCCATTTAAACGCTTGTGGATATGATATATTGGTTGGCATGCGCTCCCCTAAGATTTCTTGAGGTACTGTAGATATTCAGGCAGGAAATAATAAGCTAGCTGCAGCTTATTATTTTAATCCTTTAAAGCCATAAGTGAAAAGAAACTGTCAAATGCAACAGTAGGTCAGAGACTTAAAATAAATATAATTAGCCCATATAAGAAAATTACAACAACATAAATCATGCCCAATACCAGTATCCGTATTGTATAATCGTAACATTCTTTTGGGGTTTTGCAGGATCCATTTCAGATTTACTGATTTTATCCATTCTTCATTCTATGCTCGCTGCATTTAAATTAGGTATTATATATCTAACACGTAACTACGGTATGCGTTTGATTTTACGCTTGAAACTCTACAGTATTGGTGGATGTCTTATATCTTTCATATAGCTTTCCTAGTTTAGTAGTAGTAGTAGTAGTAGTAGAGCCAAATACCCATCAAGGCTCCCCTAACAAATGTGTTGAGGGAAAAGGAACTTGGACATTATACTAATAACAATTATACAAGTTATAATTTTGTTGTATTTAGAAAAACTTCATAAAATGAGCTTTAGTTGCAACACACCTTAAAAATGGTTGGATGAACACCACTAGTTCAGATGGACGAATACTCAATAATTTATTGTGCTATAACGAGTTCGCTAAAAAATGTATTGGTTGATCTCGCTACTTGACATACATTAATTTTTTACTTCAATTAACATATACGGGAAGCACATGGATCTTTTCGGACAAACCCACGTTATTTGGGTCTGGCTGTTATAAGCTTAGGAGACAGCATAGCATACCAGTATACCTTCTATGATTATCTCTGTTAAATAAAGGGCCCAAATTTTTGATACAGATACATTTTTAACAGAAAAAAAACGGACGGCATACTGCTATATTAGTAAATTGCTGGTCAGTCCACGGAAACTTATTTTTTTCGAAATGATGATACAATAGCTGGCAGTTTTTTCGTATCGTCATCCAACCGCAAGTTCGACATGGAAAGCTTGCATTTTCGACAGCCAAATTATTTTATATAAACTAAGCATTTAATGATAATACAATACAGCATACAAATATATATACTTTTAGAACTTTGACGATATATATATTCATATATATCGACAATGAAATAAATATATACTATAAATAATATTCATACTAAAAGTTCGACTGTATGTTATAATGCTATATAATGTTATAATATATATGTAATGATGAAAGTAGCGAAATTTTTGCAAAAAGCAACATATGCCATTACCCGACTGTCTAAATTGTTTGTGATCTAACAGATAGTTTCCGCATGGTTTACATTATCGTAAAAGTACTTCTTCTTAGTAAGGAAATATGAGTTGAAACTTGAAAATCATTGTATATATATATAGCTTTTTTCTGTAGAGTTCTTGTGCCGTGTATACTTGAAAACTAAGCTCTATGGTCTCCTGGATCATCGTGAACTCTCCAGCACTCAATGTCTCATTCGATTCATCCACATTGGACTACTCTAAGAATTCAAATAAATAACCTCTTCCATTATAGCTTCCTGGAAAAGCGACGTAGTAGACGATGATTCATTTTTGAAGTCCGCCCAACGTATGGCTGCTACGCCTTGGGAAAGCTAATTATAGGAGATGGATGATCCTGTATTGCACATTATAATAGTTAATTTGCAAATGATAGAATTGTTCATATATTAGAATGAAATCGCGTCAAGGCAAACGTGATGTGATAGTTAACCGCACCATGTTTTACAATTCTAATTCACAACCTCATCCTGTAAAAAAAATAATTACAATTCTAGTAAATACAGTTGAACCACGGCCAACATCATTGGCTACTTATTTCCCACATTTTAACACCAACGCACCTTAACATTTTTCTTTAACTTCTCAGCACTATGATAATTTATAATCATGGTTGTGTGTTGTCTGACAATGAAATCGGTTAAAAAGTACGTTCGACAATTATTCAATTTTGATATTTGCAAGTTTTTTTGCCCTATTCGGGTTTGGATTTTTAGCACTTAATTGCTGCACCGTTTACATTTTGTACAAACCCATGAGCATCTCTTCTCTGTGCTGTTAACTTAGGACCTAAAAATTGCTCAATATCCGATACTGGCCTGTACTATATGGCCGCTAGATGAAACGTAGCTAGGACAAGAACGGAGACACAACGGACATGTTTCGACCAAAACGAGATGACCTTTACAAGCGTTTGCTGAAATGGCTTTTGGGGTTATAAATCTGGGTTTGGGGAACAAATTACATTTTCCAACTACAGGGTCTCTTCTATGAAAATTTGGCCCAGTAACCTAAAGCGTCTTCTATACATCCAAGAGTTAGCCGCTGCCATACTTTACGTTATCTGCACGCGCTAAAGTATATTTTGAAGGCAAAAAGTGAATTTTACACGAACTTAACGAAGGTCTCATTGTCAGTCGCTTGAACATAAGTTCGCACATCATAACTCGTTATGCTACACGATGTATATAGGTATATATGTACATGCTGTATGATGAGTGTATTGATAACTATCATTGCTTGCATGGCAGAGAACTCATTGCGCGAATTCGGTATCGAGGACGAAAAAGGGATGTTTAAAAAAACGCGAGAAAAAAATGGTCAAATTCAAAATAACACTCCATATCGACACCTCAGGAAATTCGATGAAATTGTGATGAACGCTACACTGCAGCTTAGTTTAATACGTTTAAGTAATAGCTTAGATTATTATCTATCGGACTGTAACTGTTGGGATGTACGCAATACAGCTTGAAAAGCAAGCTACTTGAAACAAAAGACAGATAACTGAAAAAGAAAGAAACTGATTATCCCTTTAGGTTTTCTTTACCACCACAAAAGTATGAGTAAAACCACAATATGAAAAAAGCCACGTAGTAGAACTGAGTAAATAATTTTATTTAACAAATGCTTCTCTCAAATATTGGGCATAATTAAGAAACGAAATTTCTTCCTAGACTATTTAAAATTATATATGTGGATCTTCGAAACCGATCTGTTACGTATTTGGTAAACTGTGGTGATACGATCTCACCTAATAGAACCATATAGCTATCGCGTTGCTTTTCTATTTCGTAGAATATGTACAATATACAATGTACACATAGGCTTCGTCTCTAGTTCGATGTACTGACAGAATTATGGAATAGATCCGCCACAGAGAATGGCGATGCTAACGTTATAGGGTATATAACCGTGAAATACTATAAGGTTTGAATCTGCGGGCAGAAATATCACCCAGTAACTGCATCAGAATGCATGACAGATGTACTTCTGTGCAGCTCAACTGGGCAAATTGGATGGTATGGCTTGAATAGATTCACTCATCCTTGCCTGGCCAAACGCCGCTTTTATCTCGTTAGTAGAGATAAAAACGGCATTTGGTATCACGTAAATTCTTATCGGTAGGTGGCGTCGGTATCACTTGTGTACAATCATGATGTCTAGGAACGAAGACAACTATTAGATCACTGTTACCGCACGCACAAATTACAGTGTAATATCTTTCCAAAAGTAGCAGTAAGAGCAATAGCAGTGGCATCTAGTGCAAGATCATCAAAGAGGCTATGAAATCAGTACCAATCTCACAACTAGACGACTACAGTATTATTGAATTCGGTTCCCTTCATCGCTTGAAAAATTCTGTGTGCCCAGTCCGAGAATTGCCAAAGAACCATACGCATTATACAGTGGACATGAGTACGTGTGAATATCGAGTATTTTTGTTTACCTTGCAATGGTGTCTTCTCTCACTGTTGTTTGCTACACTTGCGTTAATACATTAAGACCGGATTCAGTTACATTTAACAGACATGGACATACGATTAAATTAAATCCATCCGGTTATGTTGTTTCTGGGGAGAGTTTCCGTTAACCAGCAACAGCTTCATCATCAACGAGCTTTTCGTTACAGGTAACATTGTTGTCAAAATGATTAGCGCAAGCTTACATCGCTCCGATAGAGTATAAACAGAAAAGACAGACAACAATACTGAACTACGCAAGAGGCTACTTGTTATTATTATTCTTTAAGACATATTTATTTTAAGAATGATCCCCTACTTTAGAATAACCCACTGTTCATGTTGCCCTTTATGTTTTTAGATGACCTTCATCTAAAACAGATACTGTGCAACGTACTCCTTGAAACAGTACAGCAATCACGTTGATTGGTGTAAAAAGAAAACGCCAAATGTGTTCGGCCGCATATTCGGTGTAGCTATATCCTGGCGAAGTACGCCTAGTAGTTGATATTTACAATCTCAGGACTTTCGTTGAAGCAGGACCTTTTTTGTTTCCTCTTTTGATGGCCTAGATATATAAATAGCATAGAAATAAAGTTATAGTACTGAGTGTTAGCGAGCCATTGCCGGGCCCTTAGAACCGTATGCCACTGACTTGGTGTTTACAAATTCCTGTATTCTTCACGTATTGCATACACGATCAAATCTCAAGCGTACGCACATAAGATTGCGAGTGGTTGAAAAAATCAACAACAAAATCGAAATATTACTCTGTGTTTACAGTAAACATCTACTTCTAACGTTTAGTCAATACTAGGTGTTATTTGGAATGTAAATATGCTCTTCGTTGCTATACGCAATACTTACTTAACAAACAGTACGAGACGATTCACAGATCTCATCCGACGCTTGTCGATTGACTTACAGAACAATACAATATTAATAACCATAAACAATATACGCTCGCACAAAAATGAACACAGTCGATCGTACGCGCACCGAGTCAAGCGGTAGACAAATTCAGAAAGGCTTTTTTATCGATAACTAAAAACAATGCACGGTTTTTTGTTCTTCTTAGTTCTCTTGCCAAACGACTGCCGACAGACTGTCACATCATGTAGGCGGCCATGATGCCAGCGAACGACAAAGAAGCTTGCGAACAGTTAGCAGAGAAGCTTCGCTTGCAGTGAATTAATGTCTTCCGCCCTTTAAAGCTCGTATAAATCGTACAAACATTTCTATGATTAAACCTACTCCAAGCTAAAAGAAATATTTTACTACTAAAAACGTACGTTCCTAGTTGAGAATGAGTACGCTTCAATGTTCAACAATGGTTTACTAATACAGAAATCCAACACAGTTGTTGTGACGCAGAATTCCTCACAATACTAGTAACAAATGTCGCATTTCAGCGAACAGACAGACAGACAAACAAACAAACAGAGCCACACAGATTTCGATAAATCAATACCAGAAAAGGGCATATGCTTTTAGATAGTGGATTGTCGATGGCGATAGGAGAAAAATTAGGTGATTCAGCTCTAGACTTGAACGACGGACTAGCGTAGCATATTAGCTAAGGCTACTGACCGAAAGCTCACCTATGTTCTCATATTTGTCTCTTCTTGATGATGTTCTAACTATATCTACGTCGCCCGGACTGAAAGGCAGAAGAGAAAGTAGCTTCAAACGCATCCATAGAAAGAGTCTTCATGAGATAAAATTCATAAAAAAAAAAAACTCACTTGTTGAAATTTATAAAAAAAGAGCCGTCGCACGAACCAAGTGGTCAAAGATCATGGTCAAAATAAATACAGACTAAATAAAAAGGTCAAACTCTGATACAGTAAGTACGGGGAAAACTGATGTGTTGACTTAAAAACTTCAAGTCGATTCATTTTTTGCTTTATTACATTATGTACACTGTGTGGAGCTTATTTTGAACGGCTTAGTCTCCATGTTATGTTCTTAAGTAAGATTAAATGCAATATTCTAGCGGTGATCGATATGATGATATCGTGGGCCTGGTTGGATTTTATATTATTGTGAGTGTTTTTCTAAAGACGCGGGGCTTCGCTTGTTCTCGGTGATCATTTATTGTGAAGTGTTACCTCATTCAATTTCGAGGTTATTCGCCTTGTACCTATATATAAAAGTCACGCATATAAAAAGTACGAGCAAATCTTGTTCGTACCGAGGAATAGATGATATACCTTTAACTTATTCCACATTAAGCTTCGTGTTGCGCTGCAACCGCGATGCGAAGTTGATTTGCGCAAACCTATCCATATAAACGTCGCGTCGCTAGTATACTTCATGCAGTGTTCTATTGCATTGACTAAATGCAATGCTAAGTAGAAGTTTTTTAAGCGCTCCTCGGGCTTTAAGCAGCTCACAAAATAACACAACACTATCATTAAGCGTTACGTACAAAAGAATTCCCCTTCGGATTTTCGAGGTAAATGCCCAGACAATTTTTTTGCTCTATGTGTTATCGTTTGGTGTCTATGGAGACCGCTGAAGGTCATACTTTTTAAAAATACACTTACTATACTTGCTCATGGTAGTTATATTGAATCGTAAATCCTAAATTTAACGGGCTTATTTAGAAATAACTAGGCCGATATAAATACCTATTAGATGAAAATAAAAAGAATCTGTGGATAGGCGCATTTCAATTCTATGGAAAACCTCCACCGGTGTGTGAGCATCAATAATAGAGTCAAATAGACTGTAGCTGTCTACCAAGATGAAGATCTTTTAAGAAGAAGCAGGTATATTAGGTTGTAGAAAATGTTTCTTTCACCTAGATAGCTTTTGAAATTACCTATTGTAAATAATACGAATCGCGTTGGGTTGGCATTGGTAGCTAATTCGGCAAATGTAGATGTGTTAGGACGTTTCTACTCAGATATGAGATAAAGCAGCTCGAAGATGAAATTTCTGCAAAAACTTGCTATATTCTACAATTTGATCACGATAAAAGCATAAAGCGTATTGCCCAGACCCACAAAAAAAACTATACTGATTATGCGTTACTGAATGAAACAGTCCCTAGATAGTTCTATCGCTTTCGTTTTCAATCTAAGATAGGCAGGAAGAGGAATCGTGAATTATGAGTTGCTACTGTCTAGCAAACCGGTTGACTCAGGCCTCTGTGGTCATCAACAAACTAGACTATAACAGATTATTAAGAAGAATTAACCAACGGAGCCAGTAAAGACGTCGTCTTTTACCATATACGTTTTACATATCCAGGAAAAATTGAAAGAACTTTAATATGAGATTTTACTACGCCTATCGACTGGCCCGAATCTCGTATCATTCGACTATTATATATTCTAATCTATGCAGAACTCCGTTAATGGTGTTAATTTATTTCAATGATGCAAACATTGCTTTTTCGTAATTTTTTTTTTTTTTTTGCTTAAAAACCATAGAAGTTCCACAGTGATAGAACTGGAGATCATTAATCGAAATAGCGGAAATTTAGCTTGGTAATAATAGTATTAGTAAAATATAAAAAGTATGTATTTCAATTTAGCTTGAAACGATCAACAATTCAATATACAAATGCCGAATGTTACTGCAAAAGCAAGTACATAGATAGCTTAAAAAGCTTTTTAGCGTTGATCACAATCATAAATGCTTTATAGCCTTCATACGATGTCTAAATTCTGCTGCTCTCTCTCCATTGTATTTCCTGGTTACTGTTATAATCAGAAGTATAAGAAAGGGAATGGTTCTCAACGTGTTCTTTATCCAATCGGTAGACGTTTTTTGTCCGTTTTGAAAGGTGTGCCTCTTTAGCGAGCCTGCGTAACTTTTCAGCGGTTGCTGGTCCTGTCCTATCAACGAGTTGGCTCAGTCCAGATCTCGGATCTTGAAGGAGAGAATGTGGCTCAGCAAATTCGACAATACGGCCGGCGTCTAATACCATTACCCTATTCGAGTCCATAACCGTGTGCAGTCTGAAAAAGAATTGCATACCAGTATTATAGCATTGATTATTTCTGTTTCAAATGGGTTCTCTGTGTTTCTCTATAAACTACGACAACACCACAAACCGAATTTAGTGTTAATCCTTTCAATACCTATCAAATTATGTAATAAACCCTCAAAATTAAATCAAGCTCTTATATATCTTATAAAATAGCTCCGCCCATTAACAATGTTGCTAAGGAGGAATACATGCAAGTATGAGATAATAGTAAAGCTTTACTATGATTGAAGTGTCAGGGTGAATGATAGTTATGCAGTCATTTCAAGTAATTCGCACGTTACCTATTGTTGCTATACGTTTGCTGAGGTGCATTTATTTATTATTTAATCAAAAAGTACAATTGTAAGAACATTTTAAGCTCCATATTAAAATGAAGTTAGCCCCGTTCTCTCCGTCCATGGGGGCAAACGAAAACAAGGGAATCTATGCAATGCTCGATGGCTTCGAAATCGCGTACTAACCGATGTGCAACAGTAAGAACGGTCGCGTGGTGGAAGCTTCGTCGGATAGCGTTTTGTATACATTCGTCCGTGTGCGGATCGACATTTGCCGTTGCTTCGTCCAATACAAGAATCTTACAGCGGCGTACAATCGCTCGTGCGAGGCAGACAAGCTGGCGTTGTCCAGATGATAAATTCGCGCCTAAATCAACAACGATTTAATGAAGCTATTTCATTTAACAAAATGGAATCTAATCAATAAAAGTGACTTGTAAATTCACTAAAGCCAAGGAGAATGCTGTTTACGTTGATAGTAGCTTGTTTGTAAACTCCACGAGTTTGGTGCCATTAGCACGAAGTTCAGCAAACCTTCTTCGCTGATAGTGGCGTTAAGTCCTCCAGACATATCCTCTACCGCTTTTTTAAGGCATGCCGCGTCGAGAGCTTGCCAAAGTTCTTCATCGCTTATCTCACCGAAAGGATCGATGTTTCGGCGAAGAGAGCCGGCAAATAACGATGGCTCTTGGGGAATGATGCCGATCGCGGAACGAAGCTCATGGAGACCGAGAGTAGAGGTTGATACACCATCAATGATTATATCACCTGACGTGTGAGCAGATGAACATTCCATATTATAGGATTTCGGAAATCATAAAAATACACACAACTTTTTTTTCGACGATGCGGTTTTCTGTTAAAAAAAACAAATGTGGGTACCTTCCGGCTCATATAGGCGGAATAAAGCGGCGATGATCGAAGACTTGCCTGCCCCCGTACGTCCAATGATACCGATCTTAAAAATAATACAGGTTTGAGAGGATCACGGATATAGTTAGTATCCATTAGATTGATATCGAAGTGCTCCATGTCCTGGCGTGGTCCATGTTGTATTAGTTAAAATTTGAACTCGTTTTCCAATCTAAATGATAATCAATTTTATAGCATGTAAGTAAGTTTTTGAAAACTATCATAAGTTGATCAAATAATCTCGGCTTGCACTGCCCTGAGAAGTAATTTTCGACGACGAACCTTCTCTCCTGGCTGGAAATGGCAAGATAGGTTACATAGCACCGGGGGTTGATCCTGCAGGTACCGGAGGTTCACATTGCGCAAAGTAAGGGCACCTGGTTGGAAATAAATGAGATTAGTGTATTTGCGATAAAAATAGTGGGTGGAAAACTGCTGATATGCATCTATCGGTTGAGCAGCGTAACAGTGCTGGTTTACATTTAGTGTCTGTTTCATAGTTGTCTTTCATTATACGTTGACCTTGCATTTACCTAGGTTTCTTGTGACAAAACTAGTGGCAGCTAACGAACGATGGCTGAAATGCCCCTTTGCCGCCTTCGGTGGCAACGTAAATTATTAGCACAGGATTTGCTAATGATATGAGCGTTAAATACCAGCGTTGGGCCATCCCTTCGGCGGACGACACTCAGGCTTCGTTTCCGAAGGCGCTTCCGGGACAAGAGAGCAGTACTCAAGCACTCTTTCCACAGAAGTCATGTGACTTTCAATTTCTGCAGCTTGTCGCACTCCCCATTGGAACATACCAGTTAAAAGTAAGGCATTTGTAACCGCCAGACCCACCTGGCTACCTGTCAAACCACCAACTGCACAGATCGATATAACAACATCAATGTTAACGATGTCTGAGATAAGCGTTTCATCTGGAGGTTCGATAATATTGCTATATTCGTATATATACGTATATAAAGCGTGTGAGTGTAACGCTTCGCTCTGCATCACGTTAAGTTCATAATAACTATACCACCAACATTTATCTAAATAAAAATCATTGCGTCAAACCTCCATTGGCTCCTAGAATGGCTAGCGACATTGTAACGATGGCGATGTACGTAAACGCGAGAAAATCTAATGTGATTCCAAACCATCGAGTAGTGCAAAGAAACAGGTTCCATGATGACGTATGACGATCCTTCCATAACACGTGCAAAACAGCCAAGCAATATGTTTGTTATAAAATGTATATCTAACCAGATCTAATCTGATAACGTAAGCTGCGATATGATAGGAAAGCTCATGCTAAACATTTATTGCTGTAATGGTGTTTTTTTTTTTGTTTTGTTATTACGTGGTTCTGGGTGTCGCATCGCGGCTCGTAGATAAAGCGTGGTTTTTTAGTTGGACGGTCCCAACTGTGGTAGGAATGAGCTTTTTGTTGGAAAACAAACAACGCAATTCGTAATAGCCGGTCAAATATTTTATAACTAATAAAAGCATGTTCATAAATATGGTTTGAATACCCTGCCATCCATATACCTGATAAAGATCAAAGAGATGTTTAAATACGGGTTCGACCCGATAGGCACGAATTGTAGCCAGCCCCTGAAGAGTTGAGGATACATGTGAGAACATCGGGGATCGAGTCACGCCTACATTTTCCGCCATCAAATAGTTGAATAAATTCAGTTAACGTTCAACGCGCTCCCAACGGAAATAGCTCGCTAACATTGTTCGATAACAAGTATTTCCATTGGTATCTTTTTATCAACTTGACAAGGTTTTGTCCTAATTAAGGTATCTATGTATAATGGCTCAGTGCGTCAACTAAAATTTATATACTTAGAAAGCTGTAACATTTTTTTCGACAGGAACTGTCAGTTTATAATAGCACAGGTACATGCTCTATTGACAACTACGAATGATGACACGGCAAGGGGAAGTCATTGACCAGAACGATTGGGTCCCATCGAATCAGTTCACGGGGCATGCGTATGGGGTAGGCATTTCTTAGTACCTAAATATGTCTAGCAGTACAAATAAGATACTTACGTACCCTCGAGTCGTTTTATGTCCCGAGCTGTTCGAATGTAGATATTCCAGAGAAAAGAGAACAGAACAAGTAGAACTAGCGTGGGAATGATAATGTATGGACAAATAATGGCCACGGACGTAAGGACGCCAACCAAGTTCAACGTGATCTGAAGCAGCCAAGTAAAAGTTATTATAAAGCTAAACGAAGCACTAATCAACTTAAATACTATCGTCAAATAGGATTCACTTGCAGTCGAAACCCGCATAATAACACTAGAATCAATTTTATATACTCAAGGCGTGTTTCTTTATTTATACTCACGAAAGAAATATCGAGGCCCGTCGGAGGAAGGATGTCGTCGATTACACCGAGATCCTGCAGACGAGCACGGGTTGATGAAGCAATGCGATAACATGCGTCTTGCCAACTTAGTACTATTATTCTTGGCAACATTTTTGTGACTAGGATGAGCTTTTTGTGTAGCAATTGTGAGGATCTGGTATGAAAGTAGTTCAAAAGTTTAATAGTGGCCTGGTATAGGGTAAAAACATCTCGCTTACGCAATATATATTGATATATCTCTGCGTTAGAGAGGAAGCTATGAACTATATCCAGTAATAAGCTTCGACTTGGCAAAATGCGATTTGATTATGAAGGACACAATTATGACTATAGAGACTATTTTACGGATTTAGGTTTTTTTTTTTTGTTGTACTAAAAAGCTAAGTTAATCAGAGTTTGTTGCTTTTAGTAAGTGCCTAGGATAGTGCAGTGGCGACATGTTTACACAAGCTTACCTTCGTAAACCTGTTTTGGATACGCCCGATAGGATTTCGTTCAAAAAATGAGATTGGCGCACGCATTATACAAGCAAACATGTCGTCATGGAGACGAACCGATGATCGCATACACATTGCGAAGAATAATAACGCTCGAATCACCGAGGCCGCTACTAACAGAACGATGAGACCCCCATACATCCACGCCAACCAACTGTTAATATGGAATTATATGTTTACACGTATGTGTCATTTATAATAAGCTATCACTTGTTTTTTAAATGTTAAATATTTACAATATAAAGATACAAAATCGTCTTGGTTCACATCAATTTACCCCTGACTCACTTATGTATAAGCAAATGACAGTATAATAATTTATCGAACAGAACAATGATTTCCAGTTCTAAAATAAGTTCATATTTAGGGAAGCAAATCAATGGCGGACTAATTTGGACGAATACCTTAGATAGTGCAAATCAAGGTTTGTTTCACCATTTTCTTGAGCGTCCTTAACCTTATCACACCAATACGATAGCCAAAAGTCCACTCCGTTGAACAGAGCCTGTAAAGCGGATTAAGTAAGATTATGGCATACCGCATAGTACAGATACAAAAAAGGCGAGTGCTTTCAAGTATGAGACATATATAATTGCCTATAAATTAGGCTAACCTCAATATTGTTAATACGCAGTGGTAAAATGTTCAATCTAGATGGGAATGAGTCGGTTAGGAGCATTATATTCCCTTTACCAATGTCCATGTTCCGCGAAGTTAAACGTAATACAAACTGTTAGACAAACACCCCGCATAGGTCTCTTGGGAATGAAGCTTTTCTTACAATCTAATTCGCTTACCTGCGAAGCAAGCGAGCTTAACCCGAGAAAGCTGAACGAAAGCCAACCGGTTCCTGAAAATCATACCTTCATTAACATTGCGTATGTGCATGCACCCATTCACGATGTCGACGTACATAGAGAAATCGTACTCTACTATTGCTGCCTGGCGACGGGAGAATTTTATTTCGGAGAAGTCGCTGGAACCGCGTTTTTTTTTTTCGTGTCTTGAGTCTTATTCAGAGCCCATCGACACTTTGGTAACAGATCTGAATTGAAGCCAGTGTTGAAGCTGGTACACTATACACCTTCATTGATGTCTTACAATATCAAAACGTTATGGGATACAGTAATATGTAGTAATAACATAACATAGTGTATATATATAGTAATAAGCTAGTAGCTATAACATTTTATTATACAGCTACTACCCAAAGTGACGTATTTCCAATAGACGGCGGCTGACACCGTCCCCGTTGTTTTACTTTCTTCCGTTTGCTGAGCGCGCATAGCTGCAGCCCCTTGAGCTTCCACGTCACCTGGGCAAAACAGATAAACGTAATATTTCTACATTCAACTTCGTTTTGTGTTCGAATATGGTTTCGCCGATGATGCCAGTCCTTAAAGTATAGCCTTTCGGTAGATTTCCACTGGTTCCAGATCTCGATGAATGAAAACGGAATTGATTTTTATAGAACTCTGAATGAAATTTTTCGAAGCTTCCGGCTTAAGCCAGTTAGTTATATGTACTACGATGCGATTTACAGGTGTGACTAAATAAAAACATACAATTCTTAACCTGATAATTCGATCTAACCATCGGACCATTCAGTCATAGACAGGTACCTGACTGAGGCACAGCTACGTTAACTGGACTTTGCAGGCAAGTCCATGCAACATCCGAGAACATGCAAGTAGCGTAATTAAGGCTTAATAATGTACAAGCATACTAAACGTACACAAACATAGGTGAGAGATGAGAATGAATTTATTGATTGACACATCGGTTGCTTGGTTTAACTTCAGATCAGACCAAATAATCCGATCTGTGCTAGCCATTGTTTAATAGTTATTCGACTGTATAACTAAAGCAATGTTTACAGGTACATACATTATTATGATTGCTATCGTATCTCACCATTGATGATTACATTAGGTTCAATTCCATCTTGAGATTTGCTTTTCTCAAAAGTTTCCCTTTGAGACAAGTTTCTATTGTCCAATCTTACAAAGGTCTTGGAGTCAGCCGGTACATCCTTAGACGGTTCGGCAACGTCGAAAGGCTCTCGCTGAAGTAAACGTTTGAACTCTATGTTAGCCTTATGTTATGGTCTTGTGTATGCATTTCGATATACGATGACTGGATGAAGCCATATTACGCTTTCCTGAATAATAATATAACGCAATGTATAGATAAAGCAAATTTAGAGTGGAACTGTTTGGTCGATCAGAGAACGATCGTACGATATATTCACTTCGAATGCTATTTTAAATCCAAGTAGACACTCTGATTAGCTTGAGTTGGCAACTATATTGAGCCGCTAAATACTGTATACCTCAGACTTTTCTATGACATTGTAGTCCTTTAAATTGTCAGACTCGTCGTTTTGGTCAGTATTTAGTATTCCCTCTATATCAATTCCTGAAATAGAAAAATAGCCTATGAGTGGGCAAAAGGATCATCACTAAATAATCAATTTTTTTCGCTCGGCTTTCAGCTGCCCGTATGCCTAACGGTCTATGATTCAGTAGGTGTGGGAAAAAGGAGCAATTTATTTATTTTATACGCATACATGTATGGTGTTCCCTTTTCTCCATGAGTAATAGTAGCTTTCCTGTGGCCATTGCAAATGAAAACTATAAAAGCTATATTCCAGGTCAGAACACACGTCGTCTACACTTTTTGTGTTATTCTAGCTAGATTTTCAATAGATTATATATAAGAAGACAGGCAATACGGCCTCTTAAAACGATAATATAGAAACAGCGGATAACTGACCTTTATGGATAATGTCATAATAATTCCCGTAGGCTACGGGTTTTCCATTCTTCCTGAGCAAAAGAACGCGATCGGCATGTCGCAGGTACTGCAACTGATGCGTAGCTAGAATGACTGCCTTTCCTCTAAATAGGCCGAAGCAATTTTAAAAAAGAAACGTTAGTGGAAGAAGCAATTTTCCGCTGCTGACCTCGTTTTGATTCTCTTCGTTACGCGATTGATGTTGTATATGTTTATGTATACGATAGAAAACGTCTCCCGAAAAACTAGGTCGGATCTAAAATTAACGAATTTATCTAGATGGCATATAGAGATGTATGTATCTCCGATACGAAAAGGCCCGATAGAAGCCATCCCTCAGTTATGGTCACACATACTGGGCATTGCTGTGCCTACCTGTGAAGAAGGTACTTTTGGATACAACTTGCGAAGATATGACGGGACACATTGGCGTCCACAGCGCTTAGAGGGTCATCAAGGAGGTAGAGATCTGCGTCGTGATAAACTGCTCGAGCAAGACTTACGCGAGCCTTCAAGCAAGCATAAAAACAACGATAGTAATGGATAACGTTACAGTAACAACTGTGCACTATTGCACGTTTTTTTTTTTTTTTTTTATCATCCGACGCTAACTTACTTATTCGTCAGGATCAGAATGAAGTGCTTTGGCTTAAGGTCAAGCAACAGAGAAGTGATAATGCCTATATAACTGCAATTACGTCTGATATTGTTCATCTAGTCATTCCCTGCTTTGCCGAAACTCTGAAGATGTGCACCTTTTAGAGTGTATTAGAACTACTACTAGGTGGTATGAAGAAAAATTTCTAACCAAATTATTTTATTAATGGGCATTTGTTTTCAGTATTCAAGTATCAAAGAACAAGACTTGCTCTATAGTTCGGTCTTGAGTACGATTATATGGTACCTTTTGACCGCCACTGAGTGAGGTTCCTTTGTCTTCGACAAGGGTTTCTTCGGCGTGTGGTAGTAGCTCGATGTCTTTCTCGAGAGCGCATATCTTAACAACCTTACGGAACCGTATCTCGTCAGCTGCAGAATTGAAGCAAATATTTCGCTTGAGGGTCGCGTTGAAGAGCCACGGCACCTAAAAATGATTCGACCATACGAGTGTATTCGACTATAACTACGCTGTTTTTATTATCAGCTTTTCTATCAGCTGACGGGGTTTTGGTCTTGATGTGCCTCATAATTTGCCCAATGCCTCAAACGTCCTACTGGCCTTACCCCCCGGACTGATTGTTTGTCTTGTGGTAGGGACTACTCAGAATTACGCTTAGGTTTTCTACTTTAAGCGCTTACCAATCAAATTGGAACTAGATCGCCACTTGCGAGACCGTATGCCTGTTGCTAATAGCAAAAGTTTTTGTCAAAATTCGGGTATTAGGGTACATTTACATTGACGGCGAGTCAGGACTGATGCATTGGTCCATACCACACCATTGCTATGGCTAGAATTATAGATACGAAGTTAAGATATGATTTAAAGCTGCTCAATGTATTGCAATTATGACGACTGTAAAAGATAAACTTTTTAGTCCCGCAACCGTAATGATAGAATCAAGTTACCTGCGAAGCATAAGCAATGGTTCCCCCAAGCTTAATGGTTCCGGTAAGAAGAGGAAGTTCGCCGAGTATTGCCATTAGAAGTGATGATTTTCCACAGCCAACCGGCCCTGTTACAATTACCAGTTCGCCACGACGCACTCGGAAGTTGACGTTGTTTAGGGCTAATAGATTTGTCTGACAATGGGAAGTGACATGGTTTAGCTAACGACGACAAATGTATTTTTCAACATTCTCTTAAATGTGTATCATGTCTAGTTATCGTTATTTCATAATTAATAAAGTTACGTCCGGCCACTGTGGTTAGATAAACTTCCAATAAAAGAATACAAACAAAGTTGTTTCATACGAACATCAGATGGTAGAATAGTTGATATCCAGGACGCGCGAACATCAGCCAAGCGAAGCATCGCGTCGTCAGTCGATCGAGAAGACCCTCTTCGGGAGAGAGGTTCTGCGGATTGGCCTTTTTCTTCAAGCATCAGAAATCGCTGAATTCGCCTTAAGGAAACCAATGTTTCTAAGCCTTGCCCCATACCGTACGGGAAGTAGAGTCCCATTGCTAGACGGACCTGTGGCATATACACGTATGATCGCCATGAGGTTGAGATAAAGTACCAGATTAAATGGACAAAAGTTGTGTTTTTCGCATACATAAAACTTCCCTTGAGACAAAACATTTTCAGCTAGCTACTCTTAAAGCATTTGGATTATCTAGTTCGTTCATGCAAAACGGTAACACGGTGTTTAGCGTGGCAAAACAGGCCAGCACAAGGTCTGCGAACGGTAGATTGGCTCTGGGCTTAAAATCTGCGTTTAAACTATTTGACAGCTAATTAAGCAGGAATCTACTAGTTTGAATGAAAAACTGGTAACGGAAAATGTAATTTACGCGTAAGATTTACCTATATTGTAAAATGATTTAGAATTACTTTAGATAAATTTCTATGACATTCTGGGGTACGTTTGAAGTGCTTCACGAGGACGTAAAATCGTAGGAGCTATTTACCGAATTCAGCAGAGCTATTGTTACAAATACTTTCTCTGAGGTGAGGCTTTTTCCAGCCACCATCGTATACAGGATACAGCATAGGAAAAGGATAAACTTAGAGGACACAAAGAATAGAGCCATATTAATGCCCTTTAATGCCGATGCGATTCGAACACGTCCAATCTCCATCCGACGAATATCAGATACCAATAGGCCGAACGGCTTTTCCCACGCGTACCTAACAACAAAATATATATTAAACAAAATTTAATGATGGTGGGAAACGATATATTATTTCTCCACGTGTCTAATATCTCACCTCAGCCAGTTGAGCTAAACTAAACTCGAATCTTTGCTATTAATTATCCATAATATATATTAACGCATATTCAATACGGATACGTATCTGACTGTCTGACGATTGATCCGTTGTTTACATTTGTCAAAGAAGATTTTAATTTTTTGGCGGACTAGTGCCTCCTTCTAACAACTCTCACTATTCTGACCTTAGAGTGCCTTCTAAACAAAAAGAGGACAATCTAGCCAGTATGTGCATTCCGTGCGCTTCAATTAATTCATAACTATTTATGTCATTGTAAGCCAAGGCTTGAATGTCATATAAGAAAGAAAATAACATTGTGCGATCTGTTCATTACATTTTGATTGCACGAATGGCGGCCACGAGCTCGTTGGTGAATCGTACCCGTCTGTCTGTGATTTCGGCTGTTTGTAGACGGATCCGTGCAAACTTACGCCCTATCACTAATTGCATAGGAACCCAAACGAGCATATATCCCAAGCAGCAAATACTGGGCCAGCCTGCAATGGACAATACGCACGTTAGGTGTCTCTATTACAAGTAATTCCTTCTTAAATCACGCGGTAGGAACGGTTGTACTTTGCCCTAACTACTTATAGCCGTCCTACAAATTCATTTGAACTTCACGGAAAACTGTGAAAAAAGAATTGGTTTCATCAGTGATATCGGAAAGATAAGAGTAACAATGGTGTGTTCCGTAACAGTAATTGTTCGAAAAAACATATGTGGGAAGCAAGCCTTTCATCTTTGAGAAGCCTACGTACCTATAATCAAAATAGGCTGAATGTATGCATTTGTAGAAACGGTCAAATCTACATTTTTGCTTCTATTGTTACTAAAAAAACCAGTGGAAAAAAAAAACCATTTTTGAATTATTAACGTCAAGATGCTCGTTCAGCGATGTGTCTATTAAATATAAGATTTTCACTTACCGATTTCTCTGTATAGAACGATTGTGATAAGAACTGTTTGTAGAGGCGCCACGAGGATATACGGAACAAAAAGGAGAGATGTGTCAAGATAGCGTACGTCGTTTGACATGAGATTTACCATTTGGCCGGATGCAGTTCCCGTGAGTGAAGCCTGCGAAAGGCGCAGACTTTTCCTATAGAGAAGGGAGCAGCATGTGACCCGCAATCGCATACCTTCCCATTGTGGGAAGGTATAGTACGAACAACATATACGTTATGACCATTTCTAGTTAGATAACTATTCGAAGTTGACGGCTTGAGGCAGGCCTTCAAGCGAACTTGAAAGAGCGTGATTTTGTTTTGGATATTCACAATAGCGACGCAATGGCCAAAACCAGTAATACAATTTTTGAGCGAACAATGGTTACTGGAGATCGAAAGGAATACGTCTAGAGAAAGTCTTTCGTTAATCAATTGACGTTAGGTTTTTATTTGGTGTAGCAGCTGATGGTTAGCTTGCTTGAATAACGTTCACTTAGTTTTAAGTTAAGTACGTATTAATAAGGGCGTAAGGCGTAAGGGCGAAAACATGCTGTACTACGCTTATATCGAATTATCAAATTTGCTTTTGTGTGACGCTGTTCTCGTTCGATTGTATCAAAATGCAAGATATACATTGTAAACTTACCAAATCGTTGCATGTTGAAGAAGTACGGATGATTAGTAAAGATATGTGCGCCGCCCAAAAACGATACAAGTACAGCGCAACCAATGAAAAGCCCATAGCTCATCGATGATTTTGTCGGATCCGTGAGATAGGAGACGAGCCAGCCTAGGGCAATTGGTTGCAATATATTTTTCAAGCATTCTTCAATCAGCACTAATACTGCAACAAGCAAGTAACGTGTACCGTACACACGACAAAGCGCTTTTAGCAAGTGTGGCTTTCTTCCCTTCGTTCCCTGGGCAGACAACTCTTTTTCCCATTCTCTGTAACGACGTAATGGTAGAAAACACTATTACTTAGTTAACCACACATATGTTCCGTGCCTGTGCCGTTACTTACTGATAGCGCTGCTTCATTGAGGGCCTATTTTCAAGCATATTTTCTCAAGATGGCCTTGTTTTCTAACACCAACAATACTTCTAAGGTGTGATCGGCAAATTTGTGACTCAACGCTTTTCTACGAGCCGACTATGCTTAAACGCAACTTCGCGTTTAAAGCCTCTCAGTTTCAGACCTTAGAAATACAGTAACAATAATAATTATACCACAATGACTACTTATATGTTTCTAGCAAGATGCATAAGTTAGAAATCTCACTCTTGTAAGCGATCGGTGGCCGGTCGGGATTCTTCCCATTCTGGGCAGGCGAAGAGATCCTCCACAGTTAACGCCCGATTCCATCCCAGTTTGAAAAGGGGCACAAGCCAGCAGAAAAACATGCTCGATATCCACTTCGCGGTTTCCTAAATTCAAATGAAGGTTCTCCTATCAAAATACGTCCATATCAGCCTATATGAGAACGAGCCACAGCCAAGAAAACGTAATTCAATGTCGATGAAATTCTAAGGTAGAACAGTAGTAGGCGACATGTCCTTAAGACAATGGACAACATTTGTAAAAGTAAGTTTTTTTCATTCCCTATAAAGCTATTTTTCATATCTAACAGGTAAGTTATTGACAATCGGATCGATCTGTTTGCGGCGAGCGTAAAACTTAATTGTCAGACGAATGTGTGAAAACGCAATGAGTATAACTCAGGATTTTAGAAAATTAATGAGTTGCCTAAGATAAATCATTTGAAATGCATTTGTCCTGTGTGCAGGGGAGTTTGAGCCCGGGTTAGCTTGTCGTCCAAGTACCGAGCATCGGCATTAGTATAGCAAGTTACCTCACCTGCGGACTCCGTGGCTGAACGTGAGTTCGATATAGTTCTTCCATGGCGACGCCACCAAATGAGAGTTAGGGTATGGCATAATCATAGCACGCCACAATCGAGGCTATACGTGCCGACTGTTGAAAGGCACGTGAATGAAAGTTCACCTTAGAACCACCGTGTTGGATGCATGTTTCGTTAGGGATATCAAATGGTTAGAATGGCTATCACGGCGCTAGGTAGACATTACAGGATGAACTTTACAACACCTATCATCGAAAGTCGTGCGTTCATTTCGTGCGCTCACCTACATAGGGAAGGGATAGAATAATAATAGAAGACACCATCCGGCAGGGGCATTTATAAAGCGACTCGTAGATTGTTTTACAGACGGTACAGCGTCGAAAGTTTCATGACATGAGTTGTCACACCGTACTGCCATATTTGTAATGTAAAATCTACATTCGAAAACAGCTATTATATCGTATCCTGCAATAGTGCATGCCGGTACACTTGAAAACTTATGTCTCTTCCAATGTTTTGCCACGAAAATGCTTAGTTCTGTTAATTATTTAAGTACTCAGTCAACGATTACATGTATGCTCGGCAAGCAAAATAGATAGATAGATAGTATGTAATATAATGTATTATAGCATTTTTGGTAATAGTAATAATATAATGGCTGATGCACGCATATCGCGACTGGGGTTTATTCCTCCAATGGAACATTTGAACTGCAGGGGACAAAAAATGTTACTAAAAAAGACGTTTGACGCATAATTGGTAAGAAATTAGTAAGAATTCAAGATCTGCCGCAGTAACGAGTTACGTGCGCTGCAGTCTGAACTTATGCTAGGCTCAGCCTATGATTTTGAAGGTTGCAATTCTGACTGTTTCACTCTAGGTGATGTAACCTATAACGGCCACTAGCAACAAATTTGATCCCGATCTATTTGACTTAACTCAATGCATGTGCACTGGCATTCAGCCTCTTACAGGGCTTGAATCCCGTCACGTACTCGTCAAGACAAACCCCTAAGGCTGGCAAGAACGAGACTTAACAAAGAGGAGAATCTGGATCTTATGCCTGTCACTACTTGGAGCGATTTTTTTCAGCAAAAAGAGTTGTAAACGGAAGCTTCGCGTCGAAAAGGTACTATCCAGGATGCGGCTCGGTGCAATATATCTTATTACGGCTGAATAAGGCTTTGAAAAGGTGGAATCAATATATTTCACGAGATGCAATCTAAGCGACCATAGGGCAACAACTATCAAGTTTTCTGTGTTTGTAAAAAAAAATAGGCTTGACGGTCTCAAAATACATATCTAAATATCGTGCACTGATTCATTTTGATCGTACAAATTGTTCTACGTAAACACGGATCAACTGATATTTGTGACTTAGTGCATTGTTTGCTTTTTTTTTTTTCTATGATGTATAATATCTTAAATGTATTAGAAAGTAAACGTACAATAACCCTACGTGTTCCTATCACTACGGTCTCTTTTTATAGAGATCCTGCATTTTATAACGATTTTCGTACATGTTTAATTTAACTGTTGCTTCTACCCATACGGTCTGATAAATTGAGCTTAACAGTGACTCGCGATTTCCTCTACGATGCCGCACCCCCTTGAAAGTTCACTGGTTGTAAACATTAATCATTTGCTTATAATAATCAGCGAGTCGGTTCTTCCTTCTTTCTTTCAATTTCTGCAGTAAAGGCAGCTCTGTCCTATGAGACGAGCCGAGGACACAGACTGACTGTATATAGTACTGTCCAGATGTCCTAAATCTAAATGTGAGCTAGATAGTTACAAGATCATGTTCGCCTTGACTTCTTTATGTAAAAATTGACTCCACTGTCAGAGGTCATACAAATGAGAATAAACCAGCCTAAAGAGACTGCTGAAGAAAGTTAGCTACGTGTTGCCGTTACTTAAAACTCGCAAATTAATTCTGCTTAAAAAATATTCCAAATGTAAAACTAGTGATTGACTAGAAAGTGACGAAGACTCCAGGGAGAAGGAGCTGGCACCGTGGGGGTAAATCGATATTGGTGAGCCCTCATTACGAGCGTCGACGTCTTCAGCCGCATCAAGACCCCAACTAACTAGATTTCTGGCGGGTAGCTATGACAACTAATTTCTAATTAAAACTGCATTAAATAGCTTCAGGAAATGTTTACGATGCAGGGTCAAAATTCACTGCCTCCTAATTGTTGGATACAGGAGGTATCATCGTGGTCGCCGTGGCTTGAAGCAGTGTTTACTGCAAATACAAGATGTAAAGTATATATTTCTTGGCTAGCATCGATGTAAAATGGCCAACTGTACTGTATGTCAGTTTGTCAGACCAGGACACGAAACACGTTCGTATAAGTAAAGATGGGTTTAAAACACTGATGGGTTAGTTATAAACACAGTCGTATTATTTATTATAGCCAATATTATTGAGGTTGAACCTTGGAAGCATTTGTTTAAAGAAAGCCCACCTCTGAGGCACGCCAAATGACGTTGAGGATTGCCTGTAGAAGCGGGATTTGTCCAAACAAAGTATTCAATTACATTGTTTTTTTATTTAATAATACAACATTTTGTTTACTATCATGAACGCTTCGTATTGTTTTGTTGATACAATTATACCTACCTAATGTTTCTCCTGCTTAACACATACTTTGAACGGGTATCATTGCTTTAGCTGGCGGCATTTTTCGCCGGAGTCATCGTTCCACTTGAGACACTTTTTCAATGAAGGGAAAAGTGCCAAGACATCGAGAAGAAGACGATTGAAATCTGCACCTTTTGGATAAATGAATAACCTATTATTGGATTTAAGTGTGTCTCAAACGGAAATTTAATTGGGCATGTAGATGGTAGCCCGATATGAAGCTTCGGCCGACGTCCTGTGTGGTTTACCCTATCGGTCGGTAGCTATTACGTTGACATTCGTTTTGAGATTGCGTGTGAGTGAATTCTGTAGAATTTCAACAAAGCCTATTTTAGATTTTCGGCTGCAAAACTCGTTACGATGTCCGAGAGGACTGCTTCTGTACAGTTTATTTCATATATTACAGTTAAGTGATGGTAAAGGAGGGTGGCACAACGGTTAACCTGAGATTTGCCCTTGCAAGGCTTATCAGTCTGAAGTCTCAGTCAGTAAAATGGGTATGGCACGACATCAGACTGTCATTATAACGGCTGTCATTATTTCACAACGTATCTAGGCACGTAGATAGATATATACAACTTCGTTTAGGACGCCAATTGTTGTAACCCGATTTTAGTCCAAAGCAGCTTCAAAAGTGTAGAAATTTAAGTGCGTATAATTTCTTGGCTAGATGGCTTCGCCTTTGATGATCGACGTTCGTTTAGTTAGACAAAAGTGGACGAAGATGGCTGTCGGTTTGATCATGGCTTGAGTCAATTATGTTAGGAGCAGACTGTGGTGGCAGGAAAAGCGGTCCAGGCGACACGCGGCTTAGGGAGTCCGAAAGGTCGGGAGTTTGAGTCTCGACTAAAACGTTGTACTAAGCCCTGCTGGTTTCCGTTCCGACAGTGTTATTGCATTCACTTATTTTGTTGACCGTTTATTAATAGTCGTCGTATCAGCTAATATCACCGAAAATTGATATCTAAAGTCGCTAATTAGCTATTATTTGAAAAGGTCCTCAGAGTAGTGAGATAACTTGAAGAAGTACTCATATTGCCGCTTTAGTTTATGTTTGGTATACGAGCGCAGCAGCGGTTCGATATTATGATCGCGAATCCACGAACTGCTTGTTTCGCTCGTGAAACTGGCAGAGGGCGTACGGTCGTCGTGGGCTGTTTCGCCCGTGAATCCTTCTGGTCGAGTAATTCGAACAGCCTCGTCCATCTCAAGCGGCTCGCTGAGTCCAATCTCGTTCCGCGCAAACACACGAATTCGGTAGTCGCGACCCTCTTGAAGCTCTTTTATATGCAGCCGATGTGTTTCGCCATCGACCTGGGCCACTTCCATCCACATTCGCCGTCGAATATCCTTAATAGCTATCACGTAGCCCGTAAGCGGGGAACCGCCGTCAGATTCAGGACGGCCCCACTCAATATCCATTGAGGTGGGCCCAGTGATGCAGTACTCAAGTGGCGCCGTTGGCGGAGTCGGCCGATCGGCAGCAGCCTTCAGTTTCACAATGTGCATTGAATCGAGATAGTCTGACGGGCCAGCAATGTTTTCAGCACATACACGGAACGTATATGTAAACCTATCACTAAGGTGCTGAACAAGACACGTTGTGCGATTTGCGTCAATCGTCATGACTCGGGTCCAAGAAGTAGCGGATTGCTCTTTCTTCCAGATGACGTAAGCCGTCAGTTCGGCTCCGCCGTTATCTTTAGGCGGGCGCCATGAGAGAGTGACGGTTTTATTGGTAATGTTACTTGTTTCAAGCGGTCCTTCGGGTACGCTCGGGGGCTCTAGAAAACCGAATAAGGAATGAATTAACAAAAACTAGGTATAGAGATGTTATACTATGGTAATAAACCTCACGATAATGGAACTAACGAGATATGTTTGGACAAGCCAATATCGGTACTTACTAATCATATGACCGGCGATAATTGGTTCGTCGGTACTAAGCGCAGGGCTTGAGCCGAGTTCGTTGCGACAGGTGATGCGGAAGTGATACGCTGTTCCTTTTTTCAAAGAGGAGACAAGGATATTGTGACAACCGGCGGCCGAATTGCCGACGGATTGCCATGCTTTCTTCGAGGCTTCCCTTTTTTCGATAGTATACTCGATGATGGGCGATCCGCCATCAGTTTCCGGTGGACACCATCCGAGAGAGAACGAAGTGTCTTTAACGTCACGCACTGTAATCGGTTTCTGAGGTGCCGACGGCTTACCGTACGAGGCACGAGCTATAATGGGTTCTGATATAGCGGGCTCCGAAATGCCATTTTCGTTAACAGCGCTCACGCGGTAGAGGTACTCACAGTTCTCAGTGACGTTTTTATCGACGTAACGATATGCCGTCGCAACACTTTGCGCGACTTCGACGAAGATCTGCGATGATACTTCACAGCGTTCTATCACATACTTAGTAATATCTGATCCACCGTTGTCGCTTGGAGGATTCCAGCAGAGGGTCACTTGATTACGACTGACGTCGGGGAATGTGATAGGGGGTTCCGGCGGACCAGGTCGGTCCAGGACACGCAGTCTGAAGTTATACAATGCCTCACCAGCTGCGTTCTTCAGTTTTAGCATGTACACGGCACTGTCATCGGCGTCTACATTTTTCACAATGAGCGTAGAGGACTTTTCGGTAGTCGAGATTAGAACCTTTTGGCTTGCCTTCAGTAGGAAGCCATTTTTCTGCCAGGTGATTTCCGGAGGAGGATAGCCGAAGGTCTTGACTGTAAGTAGGTATTCTTTCGTCTTTTGAATGCGGACAGACTTCATCTTATTGTCAAATTCAGCATACGGGAGCTCTGCAATGACGACACGTCAAACAATACTTGTTCATACATATATATATGTGCAGTCGAATTTGTGCTAAGATTACAAAAAACCTTTTCATGGCACAATGCGGATCGCCATGACATAAACCGAGTCACGGTTGTCACTGCATTCTAATATTAAGAATGAAGTCTGACTATGTACTCTAAGGCACCTAGCAGGACTTCATGACTGGGAAGTGGAATTCCGACTGGAGGCTCTCTAACGAGTTAAAGATATTCACTTAATGACTTATATATTAATAAAGATTTTTTAATTTTTTTTTATATGATAATGCCACCAATATATTTTGGGCGGAGGGCGGTTTCAGAGGTAAATGTCAGCGCGATCAGCGTCAAGCGGACCAATTAAGTAACATTGCGCACACAGACCCCAAACAACCCAAAGAAGATTTCTTTCTGTTCGTTCAAATCTTTCATCTTCCTTCAGCTTTAAGCGTACTTTAACTTGACTGCCGATTCTTCCAGAAAAAAAGTGGATATTATGTGCGGGTCTTTCAGTAGTTTTAAAATATGTGAAGTATCTGAATATATTATGTTTAGTGTTGCAAACGTTTAGAAATAAAACTATGTCGATCTGTCTACTCCATTTCGTACACAAACCTCATATTTAGAGAAACAGTTTGATTCTGGAAAATACGGAATGCCTACCTTTGATGGCAAGGCACCCGACGGTCGAAGCCTTCCCAAACTGGTTGGTAGCATGACAGGAGTATAGGCCTGCATCGTCTTCCGTGATATCGGTAATGGTCAGCAAAGCCACATGGTCATCAAAACAGGCTTTCATGCGGCGTGACAATTTCAAGTCGGCGCCGTCTTTCAACCAAACAATTTCGGGTTGGGGTTGGCCTCCGATTCGGCACACTAACACAGCAACTTCATTACGTCGAGCGTGAGTTTCGTCGGGTAGATGCTCTAAGATGGCAGGGGCATCGCCGGTACGGTCTCGCGTTTCGACGTATTCGCTATTTTGGGACGGCTCGCTTCGACCAACGTCGTTTTCAGCGCTGACACGGAATGTGTAATCGTGTGCCTCGTTGAGGCTTTGCACACGAACGAACGTCTCAGTAATGGGTTTGCGTGTTTTGTACACGATCCATTTGGAGGTGTTGCGGTCGTGGTACTCAACCTGATAGTTCGTGATCGGTGCGCCTCCGTCGTGATCAGGGGGCTTCCAACTAAGTGTCACTGAATCGGAACCTACTTCCGAAGTTTTCAGCTCGCGAGGCGGTTCGGGTCGGTCCAGCATCACTACCACAAAGTCTTGACTGCATTCGCCCCATTTATTCTTTAGACGCAAGTGGTATGTGCCAACTTGAGCTGGGTCCATCTTAGGGAAGATGAGCGTAGTCGTCTGGGTGTCGTTCTGGATTTTGACAGTTGATGAGCTAATAAGCAGTTTGCCATTTTGGGTCCAGAGGATATCGGGTTCAGGAATGGCAGTATAGGGAACAACTAGCTCGAGTTGATCACCTCGCCGAGCTGTAAATACGCGTTGTTCTGTGCGAACTTTCGGTGGACATTCAACCTTCACGGTTGACGAGCACTTCTTATCTTTTATGACACATGAGTACACGCCTTGGTCTGAAGCCGCGGCATCTTTAATAATTAGCTTGCGATTTTTGCCCTCAGTGGTAATGATCATCTTATCCGACGGCTCGACTTCTTCGCCATCTTTTTTCCAGTGCACTTCCATCGTCTCGCGATTCACCTCGACAAGTAGAGAGACTGTGTCGCTTTCGCGCACGACAAGGTCACGGAGTTTAAGGGTAAATTCAGTCTCAGTATCTTCCACCTGTAATTTGGTTGTTGTGCGTACATTGCCAGCTACACAAGTATACTCAGCAATGTCATCACGGTCCACGTGAGCTACGACAAGCTTTCGAACATGTTCGCCTTCACGCACTTCACGGATGAAACGGAATCTTTCGTCCTCGGGAATCGGTACGCCATTTCGCATCCATATAACGTCAACGTCAGGCGATGACAACGAAACGGTGAACTCAGCGTCGGTGTCCTCGTGAACAAACGTCGTCTCGGGAAGGCGCGCAAGGAATTCGACAGATGGCGCTGAAAGCAATATTACGCCAGGAAATTAGATTTGAAAAACTATGTAGTAAAAATGTATCAGGACGGTTTCTTCCTATACAAGTGTGTATTCTATAGCTGATTGGCGTGGACTTTCTCAGTAAACGGGAATATCTGTGCACATCGTATACACTTACGTTCAACCTTGAGCCGCGCTTTGCAAGTCTGATCTCCAACAGCGCAAGCATAGATTCCAGCATCTTCGTATTCAGCTTTCTTAATGACGAGGCGCTGTCGTTTGCCATCAATAATGACTGATACGTCTTCAGTAAACCTGATCTCTTTACCGCTTTTATACCAACGCACCCAGGCGTCACCTTTGGTAAGTTCTACTTGGAACCACGCTTCTTCACCTCTAGCCACGGTCATGTTGGCCATCTTGGACACGATACGCGGCGGTAACTCTGTAACGACAAGATCCGCGGAACATTCGTGCTCCCCAAGAACGACCGTGTATTCGCCGTCGTCGCGTATGTTTGTGTCGTTGATGACCAGCTTGCGATAGGTACTCTCCCGAATGAACGTGTACTTTTCAGATTCTACAATCTTCTCTCCGTCCTTATGCCACGTTACTTCGGCATCTTCATGGCTGATTCGGCAGACGAACATTGCCACTGTGTCTTCTTTCACCTCAACGTCTGAGATCTTCTCAACGAATTTCACTTCGCGTTCTAAAAGGGGAAAAATGGGAAAAATTTTACCTTAATCACACTTGCGCTTTTTAACCCACCTGATACCCTCCTGGTATTAGAAGATTACTGACTCACGCAAACACATTTTTTATATATTAACATATTACGTATGTGAGAAGAACGGAACAACTTACTTTGAATAGTTATTTTGGCCGACGTCGATGTTTCGCCGTGTTTGTTCTTAGCCACGACCTTATAGACGCCACTCTGTTTCGATGTAGTTTTATTGGTTTCGAGGATGAAGACTCCATTCTCTTCAGTGATTTTGGTGGTGCGTGTCTCCTTAATAATGGTTTTGTCACAGTACCAGGTAACTATCGGTTTTGGTTTTCCGGTTATTTTAACGACAAGACGCAGTGTGTCTCCTTCTGAAATGACCTGATCAGGGAATGTCTGAGTGAAATTGGGTTGCTCGTCAACATCTTTCGGTTTTTCGGTAATGGTCAAAGTGAACTTGGCGTGGGCGGCTCCCTCGGAGTTCTGCGCAACTAGGTCGTAGCTGTCGCTGTCATCAACGACAGTTTGTTTAAACCTAATAGTAACACAAAACATGTCATTATTTTGCGTCATTTCTTGTGTGATCCGGTGATCCGGCCGCACCGGTTGGCCATTGCGACACAGCGTCACGTGAGGCTCAGGTGCAGCAGACAGTACACAGACAATTGTAAGTTCATCGCCTTCCTCAACGACACGATTCTCTGGAAGCCGTCCGAAGACGGGCGGAATCGCATCGTACATAGACACCAGAGACGGTGTACGCGACAACGTAAAGCGTGATGTCGGTGCCGAATCCGTTCCATGATCAGAGAATGGTTCCTCGACGGTCAGTTCGGCCGAGCATGAGGCAAAGCCAGCAATATTTTTAGCTACTACCGTATAGGTGCCTGAGTCCTCCGGAAACGATTCCCGTATGTACAAAGTTGTCACATTTTCTTCATCGTAGAATATGGTGAACTCTTCTGTACTCTTGAGAATTTGCGTCTGTTTAAACCACGTGATCGTGGGACGAGGATTGCCGCTCACCTGGGCGACCATATGAACTGGTTGTCCATCAACCACTGCAATTGGTTGTAGAGGACGTACGAAGCGTGGGGCAGTTGGCTCATCACCGGGACGAACGCCTAAAAGTGGATTAAGCAACTTATTATCTCAATAGAAATAATTATTCGTTTATAAAAATGCACACTTCTGCCAAATATTTTTATATTTGTGGCACGTTTATCTTATCGAACTCAATTACTTACGTCCAAATGTTGGAAGACGTAGAATTTTCTCCCCAAGTACCTCTTTCAGATATTGCGTGTATTCTTCGGCTTCTTTGAGTATGTCCGGTGGAACAAGGCCCGACTCCTTCGTGAGAACCTTTTTGACTAGCCAATGATCTTGCGAAGTCTTCTCAATAACGCGAACTTTTTCGCCTTCAACAATTGTGAGCTCATCGGTAGATTCTGAGATATACGTGGTTGTCGCAATGAATAGGAACTGTTCAGTGACCTTTTCTGATTCCTCTTCTGTTGTCGCTTCTTTGATATCCTTGATTATGACCTTAGTTTCGTCTGATGCCTCTTCCAAATGCCGAGGACGCTTATCTTCCACCTGGGTGACTTCGAAAGTCATTTCGATGGCTTCGTGCTGGCTTGTCTCCACAACCTGGAATGAGGCATCTACGGAATCTACTGTAGATTTGACTATAACATCCACTGACGTCTTTGTGTCCTCGGGCTGCGGTTCTTCTTCAAATTTCTTTTCAATCTTGAATTCAGCCTTTATATCACCTGTAACGGATTTCTTCCTTTTGAGCGACACTTTTTGTTCCTCTTCTTCAACCGCGACCTTTTTCTTGATAGTGATTTGATCAGCTGCCTCTTCTACCACAGGCTTCTTCTCAGGCTTTCGTTCAATGGTTACATCAGCGCTCGCTGGCTCCGCAGGGACATCTTCGGGTTTGATTGGCTTCTTCGACTGTAAAGATAACAAACGTTAAATTATCATTATTAAGTTGGAAACCTTGTCCTTTTTATGACAGTTCCATTATTAAAAACGTATATACTCCTACATAAGCTGTCATTGTGTGAAAACATGAAAACTAACGAATTTTAAGGTTTAACCTTATTAGAAAAAAAAACTAAGGGCTTATTAACTCATAGAATATTAGCTTTTAAGAGTAAACATATAACGAAAGTATGTTTAAAGTATCCAGCTTTCACCGTTCGCTCTGGGATTTTAAGTTAAACTTACCGGCACAGTGATCTCGAAACTGCCCTCAGTATCTTCGGGCACTTTGTGATCCTCCGTCTTTGTGAGAAGTTCAAAGGAAGCTTTAGTACCCGTTTCTCTTTCGACGGTAATCGAAGGTTTCCTCTTCTTCTTGATTGATACCTTTTCCTCTTCTTCTTCGTGTAGAACCTTCTTTTTAATTGTTAGTTGCACGCTTTCGACCTCTTCTTTCAGTTCAGGAGCCTTTTCAACAGGTTTTTGAATAGTGATGTCTTCAGCCACCTCTTCTACAGGCTTCGGCCTTTCTTCTTTAGGTTTGAGCTGAATCTGTACTTTTTCAGTTTCCTCTTCCGGCATTTTTTCAATTGGTTTCGTCGGAAGTTTAAATACGGCCTCCGAGTCTTGCGGCTTCTCTTCCATCTCAGCAAAAGTCACTGACCTTCGTTTTTTCTTTAAGATGACCCTTTCCTCAGCCGCCTTCTCTTCAACCACAAGTTGCTTTATAGTGACTTCGCCTTCAACTTCTCGGATAACAACTTCGTCGTTAATTTGAAGGACATGCTCCTTAATGGTCATTTCTGCGGCAGTGTCCTCTGTGACCACTGGTTCGGGTTTTTCTTGTTTGACTTCGAATGTAATATCCTCGCTGACGGCCTCCTCTGTCGTGGGGACAGGTTTATGTGGTAATGAAATAGTCGTTTCTGTCTCTTCTGGCTCTTCCTTGACGCTAGGTTTGCGCAAGCTAATCTCTTCTACCGGTTGCGGTTTGGCAGACGATATGCGTCTCTTCAAAGTTACCTTCTGTGGCTCTTCTTCAACAACAACGGGCTTCTTTATTGTAATTTTATCTGCCTCTTCAACAATTTCCTTCTTTTCCTCAGGTCTAATGATCACCTTTTCTTCAATAGTTTCATCGGTAGGCTTGACCTCTGGCTTCTTTTGCAAAGTGACACTGACTTCGTCGGTTACTTTTTTTGGAACTTTTACCTTCTCGTCTGGTTTTTGTTTTATTTTAAAAACGGCTTCAATTTCTTTTTCAGGTTCTTCGGGCAGTGGCTTGGCAGAGGACTTTCGCCTCTTCAACGTAACTTTCTGGGGCTCTTCTTCGATAACGGTGGCCTTCTTAATTGTGATTTCTTCAGCTGCAACTTCCTCTACAATCTTTGATTTCTTCTCAGGTTTCAAGATAATTTCTTCGCTAGAAACCTCTTCTGCTGGTTTAACTTCCTTTTTAAATATTACCGTTACTGCTTCAGCCGTTTCTATCTCTTCAGGTTTTTCCTTTGGCTTAGCTTTGACTTTAAATGCGGCCTCCTGTTCCTTTTCTGGTTTTTTATCTTTTTCAGACACTATTGATTTCCTTCTAATCGTCACCGTTTGTGGCTCCAATTCCATTACGGTCGGTTGCTCAATGGTAATTTCTTCAGCTGCTTTGTCGGTTTTTTCCTCCGGCTGAGCCTCAGTTGGAATTTGTACGACCGCTTCATCAAAAGTCTCTTCCACTGATGGCTGACTCTCCTTTTGCTCAAGCTTCACAGTTACAGGTTCCTTAGCTTCCTCTTCCTTTTGGACCTTCAGCGTGGGCCTTCGCTTTTGGATAGTGGCCTCCGTTTGTTCTGAATACATAAAACTTGTATTTAGAATCTATCCGACATAATGTAGAATGTACTCGACATCTGCTTGGCATTAGGCTTTAATGCTATTCACACTGTTTCCTCACAGTCCAAAGGTCCCATCGAAATCCAACAAAAACCGTTCCACCTTTCTTAATGTTTTATAAGTAGCTGAAACTTTCCAGCATACACGAAAAATACTTTTTTGCATATAATAAAAAATCTAAAAAAAATGGGCTTTGTGATAATACGAGATATACCATCATCATTGCCCTTCTGAGGATCCCGACTGGGACAAATCGGGTAAGTAGGTAACCGACGGTTAGTGCGCTTATACAAGGACATCGTATATGTAAGCAACGACAACACAATACAGGTAAAAGATGTATATATGTATATATATACTTATATACATCTTATATATACATATATATATTTATATACATGTTACACAGATGGGCGCATAATAGACGACACAGTGTAAATGTACAGTATACACAACATTGTGTGACATGCATTGGCGATACAATTATAGACACTGGACACATATGCGATACAAGTGTATTTAAGATGACAAGTTTATTCACGCTCAGGCATTCACAAATAGATTGTCTAGTCTGACTGGGAGACCCGTTGCTAGAGGCTACGGGAGTCCGTTGCTGGTGACTGACCCTCCTGTATAGTTTCGTGTCTGAGTGTGAACAATTTTCAAAGATACTAACAACACGTAGAGGACAACATGGGGAGGAAGCGACTGAAGCGGTGATACTAGGCAGACAGGCCTTCCTGTTTGCCCAAAACGGCGCCATGTACAAAACGCTGTGCACATGCTGCAACTAATTGATTATATTTACCTTCAACCTTTTTGTCGGCGGGCTTCTTCATAACTACTTCAAGCGCCTGTACCTCCTCAACGCCGGGTTTCTGAACGCTTAGCTGCAAGCTGACAACATCAGCATCGGAGCCGAGTTTGGAGTCGTCTATGACAAGCTCAGTTGCCTCTTCTGGTGCTTCTTCGGGGGCCTTCTTCTTTCTTCCAGACTTGCGAATCGGTACCGTGCAAGTTTCATCTATCACAAAGTCTTCACCGGCTTCCTCCGGCTCGCTACCATGCTCGTCACCCTCACTTTCGTATGAGTCTTCTTCACGAATGACGTCAGGCTGTCTTCGGACTTTAGGTACAACTTCCTTCTCAGGGGCTTTATGAATGATTTTCGGCTCACGTGGCTTAGGTTTTTCATCAGGCTTTCGGACTATTAGTTCACTAGTATCCTCATATTCGGTAGGAGCAGGCTCAGGAACCGACTCTAGAGTGACTTCAATGTCAATAGCTTCCGAGGTGAACTCTTCCTGCTGCAACATGAGCTCGGCTTCAACATCTTTCTCCTCCTTTTTAATAAGTGCCGTAAACTCTTCCTGAACATCTTTAGCTTGCTTTGGCTTCATTTTTAACTTAACTTTTTGGGCGGTTAGTTCAGCCTCTTGTGGCTTGTCTTCACTTACCTTTGGCGTTTCTTCCAAAATTGATTTCTTTTTCTGTAGCTTCAGAGTGGCTTCTAAGGGTTTTTCTTCATCCACAGTTGGTACTTCTTCTCTGATAGCGATCTCCTTCGAGGCCTCGACATCGAGAGTTTTTATCTCTTGAGTCTGTGTTAAAGTTGCCTCTATTCCTTTCTGGACCTCAGGCTTGATACTTGGTTTTCGAATGACAAACTCAACACTCTCCTCCTCTTCCTTCGTAGGAACGTCAGCCGAAATGGAGGGCCTTTTCTTAGGGCGTAGTTTTATCTTGGTAGTTTGTTCCTCAACCTTATCCGTCGGCATCTCCTTCTTAAGCACCTCCTTATCGACCACTACAGACTGAGGTGTATCCTGAGTGACAGTGATATCAGTCGAAAGGGCTTCGCTTTCTACAATCGGTTCATCCTCGCTCTTCTTGCGGATACTTACGCCATCAGTAGTCTTCTTGATTTCTACGTCTTTTTCCTTTGGAGTAGTTTCTTTTTTAATAGTCAACACGGCTTTTTGAGGTCTCTGTTCCATTTCTCCCGGTTTCTCAATTGAGATTACCGTTGCTAGCTCCGAAGGTTTGCCTGGCACTTCATAGACACTCTCAACTGAGAATTCCTTGTAAGTGCACGGTGCTTCTTCTACGCTCTGTGCAGTTTCCCACGATTCTACTGTAAGCGTCTTTTCAATCTTTTGCGTTATTTCTAGGGACGTTCCTTCTGAGTCTACAGCAATAGGTCGAGTCTCATCTTTCTTCCTCTGAATAGCAACGTCAACCGATGGCGCTTCTTCAGATCGGATGTCCTCACTAGGTTTAAGCGAATCCTTCTTTTTGGGCTTGAGGCTAATACTTTCAACTGCTTTATCATCTTCTAGCTCTCTTTTGAGCTTATCGACTGATACGATCTCAGTAGTCTTCGGCTTCTCTTGAATTACTGTAACCTCAACAGACTGAGAATCCAATTCGATGGGATGCTTATCCTTTGGCTTTTTCTTCGCCAAAATTTGAGCGGTGGTATCTTCTTTTCGATCATCTTTCGTTGCTTTATCTCCTTCGGGAATCTTTGGAATGGACTTCTTTTTCTTGAACGTTATTTTCGCCTCCTCTGTTTCGTCCTCTAGCGGTTTGGTTGTCGAAAATTCCTCTTGCGTAACTTCAATCTCATGCAGTTTTTGTGTACTATATTCACGGAAATCGTGTGGGCGATCCTCACCTTCACTTGCGACTTCGATGGTCGTTTCGCGGTATACACCCGAGGTTTCTTCGATTTGCTGCACCTTAAACTGGGTAACATCGAACTCGGCTTCAACTGATTCTACTTTAACCGGCAGAACTTCCTGGTCAGACTTTTTCCTATCTAGTATTTCTACGGTTAATTGAGGTTCCTTGATTTCTGTGTCGTCTTCTTTAGGCAGCGATATCTCTTTTGCTTTCGGTTTTAGTGTTATTTGACCTGTTAGCTCCTCTTGTTTAGGTGTTAATTCTTTCTTCGGTTTAGTTTTTGTTAATATTGTAAACTTAGCAGGTCTCTCGTCAGATGTGGTGATCGTTTCGGTGGTAACTTCGCGCTTAACTTCTTGAGCAATGGTAAAGTCACTGACGACTGATTCGATTTCAATCGGCTTTTCTTCTTCTGGTTCCTTTTTGACTGACACGATCATAGCGGTTTCTTCTTTCTGTTCATCTCCTTTTTTGTCCGTAGGCATCTGTTCTTTTGGTTTAGGCTTTGGCTTTAACAGGATGTCAGTTTGGGTCTCTGCGTGGGGCTCCTCCGGCTGAACTTTGGTGCTCTTTATTTTGCGACTCACTGTTACCTCTTGCGATGTGTACATTTCAGCCATTTCTTCTGACAGAACAGCAAACTCCTGATGGGTTTCTTGGGCAAGATCGAGCTCAACAGTTTGAGATTCGAGCGTAATATGGCGACTTTCTTTCTTGACCGCACTTTTGGTAGCAACTATTACCGTTTCTGGAGTAATTTCTTCGGAATGAACGATTTCCTCGAGAATCTGAACAGGCTGGTCGATCTTTTCGGTTATAGTCATCTCGGGCGCACCTTCAGATTCCACAGTAATTGGAGTTTTCTTTTTATCCTTCTTAACGGTAACGGATATCTGAACCTCCTCCTGCTCATCTGGTTCTGTAATCCTATACGTATGCTCAACTGGCGTAATTTCTCCAATTACTTCTTCAACGGCGATAGTTGCCTTGGTCTTACTGTCGAGCGGCGTTTCTTCTTCAGCCTCTTCGACGATGGGAGTAGGTTGCGGTCCTGCCGCGAACTCTTCTGACACTTCTTCAATGACAGGACCAACCTTCTGTTCGTCCCGCCTAAATGTATGAAGCACCTCGGTTATTTGTTCCACCTGTTCATCTCCGGCTTCAGCAAATCTGACTGATTTTTTTCTCTTAACTGTTTTCTTTATTGTTACTCCCGATGATTCTTCCGGTACATCCTCTTCTTCGATAGTAACCGTCACACCCTTCGTGCTCTTTTGTTCTTTTGTCCTTGCCGTCGCTTCGATGATCTCCATTTCCGGAAGCTGTTTTACTCCGTAATCAGTAACGAGCTCAATAATCTCGATTGGTTGGGCAATTTCGATATGATCGGTAGCTTTATCACTTACTGGCTTCTTCTCTTCGAGATCCTTTGTTGTCACCTCAGTAATAGTTTGATGTACGAGGACGTGGTGGCTTTCGGTTAGTTTAACATCTATTTCACTTGTTTGCATGACAAAAAGAGGCAATTTTTCTGTTTCGAACGAAGTCATAGCTTCCTGAACCATAATATGCTCGCGAGTGTCAAACGATACTGCTGGGTTAGCAGATTTTGGTTGTTTGGGGGCTACGAATTCGTCTTCCTTATTCTCACCAGTTACCTCAGTCACCTGGACATGCTTCTCGTGCGTGATATTAACGCAGGCCGTAGCCGCCTTAGGTTCATATTTACCTTCGAACGATTCCTCGCGATACTCAGGCTGTACCTGTTCAACTGAGTAAGTTTCGCCTGTTTCGATGGTAAAGCTAGTTTTGGAAAGAGTCGCTGGTTTCTCAGGCTGCAGGTTCGATTCGCGTTCGTCAACTTCAGTTTCCGTAATAGCAACATGTTCGGATGTAACGAACGATTGGCGCGTCTGCTTAAAGGTAGGCAGCTTCTGTTCAGGAAGCTCATCCTCTTTCTCTCCGTAGACTACCTGTGCTTTTTTGGTGTGTTGAACTGGAATGATCTCATACTCAGTAGTGACGCCTTCCGGGACCTGGAAATCTCTAAGAAGACCTTCCTTAAGGGTTGCTTCAGTTTGTTGCTGCAAAAGAGCCTCGATTGAAACGACGCTAAAGGAAGCACTACCCGTTTTTGGCTTTGGAGCATCTTCCAAAGTATGCTCGCGGTCTTCAGGAACAACGACAGATTGAAAAACGTAATCCGAAAAGATAAGGTCAACGTCGGGTTGGAAGCCCTCTGGAAGCTTACCAGGGGTGTATTCACACTCCTTATCCTGCAACATTGTGGATACAACTTGAATTGGGATGTCAGAGGTAACGCTCATATTTGCTACATTTTCCTGTGGTTTCTTATCTGGTTGTAATTCGTCTTCTTTAAGAGAAAACAAAACCTCTTGTGAGACAATGTGCTCGGCAGCCGTAATTGAGAAGTCAGTTGGAATACTGTCAGGAGCTCTGAAGCTAGCCAACGTCTCTTCTTTATTGTGGGCAGTGACAGATTGAACGATCACATGCTCAGATGAAGGCACACTAGAATCCGCAGTGTACATTTTTGGTGTTGGAGTACTTTCAAATTCCTCCTCCTTAATAATGAAGACAGTCTCCTCAATGATTCCGACCTCCTGAGATTCAAGATCAACCTTAGCTATACCTTTTAGAGGTTTTACATCAGCGGGAAGTTCGATTTCTGCCACGTTATGTACTGTCTCTGATACAGAGATATGTTTAGCTGTTGCCACACTAAAGTCAGCTTTATCTGAATCAGGCAGGGCTTTGGGAATGAATTCGGATTCCTTCTGAGCCGTTTCCACCTCTTGCTTCGACAAGTGTTCTTGCATAATGATAGCACTTTCGATATTTTTTCCTTTGGGCAGTTTTAAGGGGGTAAGCTTTTCAGTTTCTTGGGTAGTGGTCACCTTCTGTACTATAACAGGCTGGAAGCTGCCAATTACAACGGAGGCAGTGTTAGCTTTACGTTGTTCTGGGTAAAAACCGCCTTCTTTGTCTTCAGAGATAGTTTGTTGAATGACGATATGCTTCTTCGAATCGATACTAATGTGGGCGGTATCTGTTGGAGCCTCAGCATCATAAAAGACGTCCTCTATGTCAGTCGGCTGCGTTTCCTCAACTGTGATGTAACTTAGGGCGTCATACCAGACTTTTGCTGTCTTGCTGATGGGTTCCTTCAACTCAAGACCTTCAGGAACGTTCTCTTGCGCAGTAATTTCGCCGACAGCAAAGGTTTCCTGAGTTGTGAGATTGAATCCTGCCTGTCGACTCTCTGGTAATCCTTCAGGGACGTATTCGCCCTCTTTATCTTCTGTGATGACCTCAGCCACTTGAACCGTCTCTTGGCTGGATACGCTGAATGCAGCTTGATTGCGTTTAGTAGGCGTTCCCTCGAACTGTTCGGTTTCAGCCAAAATCGTAGTTTCCTGAATGCAGATGTGGTCTTTCCTTTCAAACTCTACAGCGGCTTCTGTGGTAGGGGCTAGCTTATCCGGCGTGTATTCGCTCTCTTTAAGATTTTCTATCGACTCTTCTACGATTATGTGCTTTTCTGTAGTGAAACCAAGCGAAGCAGATGCAGTTCTAAATGTTGGCTTGAAATCAACTTCCTCTTCTTGAGTATTGCACACAATTTCTGTAACGGAAACATGGTCTTTGAGCGGAATGGTGAAATTCGTCTGTATGCCTTCCGGTATCTTCGCAGGCACCAGTTCTTCTTCCTTCAATGCGCTTGTTACATCTTGGACGCCAATGTGCTCTTGAGAGATCATACTTAGATCGGCAACACCTTGTTTTGGAGGTTTAGGGCTAGCGAATTCACCCTCCTTATCCTGAGCAACAGTTTCGATGGTTTCAACAATGAAAGTTTGCTCGTCAAATGGTATTTTAACTAAAGCTGTATCTTTGAAAGGTTTGACATCTTCAGGCAAGTCCTGCTCTTTAGAAGCCAAAACTATTTGTGTAGCAATTATGCTCTCTTCAAATGGAATTGAAAAGTCCGCGGCTCGTCTCTTCTGCACTTTGTCTTCTGAAAAAAGTGCCTCTTTATTTGCAGGAATGACCTCCTCTGAAATAATAGCTTGCTGTTCCGGAACGCTAAATTCGGTAAGCTGGAACGTTCTGGGCTTCTCCTCGAGCAACTCGGTTTCTTTCTGAAGAGTAGCAGAGTGCTGGATAACGATATGTTCATCAGTGGGCACAGAAAATCCAGCAGTTGACGTTTTTTCGGGAGAGACTGTGAAATCCTCGGACGTGGCACAGCTGATAATCTCGGATTGAATGCGGTGTTTCTGAGCCAAGAACTTAACGTCGGCACTTAGGCTGATTGGTGCCTTATCAGGCATCAAATCACTCTCAAGTTGGGCTGGTACTGTTTCGCTCACGGTTACATGCTGTGTTGTGGTCATTCGAGAAATAACAGCTTCCGTAGCGGGCAATGCTTTAGGAACGAATTTTCCCTCAGAAAATGTGGATGTGGCAAGTTGAACTGTAGTGTGCTCATGCAACGGAATAGTAAAATCTAAATGGACAGTATCTGGTGTTTTAAATGGCGCCATAGCGATCTCCTTTATGTTGGCCTGTACAGCGTGTACGTTGACTTCTTTATGGAGTAGTAGGTCTTGCTGAGCTTTCTGGCCTTCAGGTAGTTGACTAGGCCGAAGTTCTTCCTCGGCTATGGGCAACGTCTGTTGGGTCACCTGCAGTGACTCTTGTGTAGAGAACGAGGTATCCGCCTCTTGTGGGCGTATCACTAGCGTTTCGGGTGATCCACCTTCGCGTTCCTCGGGGACAATTTGCTGAACCATAATGTTGGCTGAAAGCGAGATATCGCGTTTCGCGGTGGCAAAATATGGCTCTTCTCGGGCGAATTCTTTTTCTTTGTCCTGTGAAGTTGTTTCAATTATGTGAAGCGGGGCGGACAATTTCATTGCGATGTCAGCGGTAAATTCTATGGGCGCCTCATCAGGTTCAAGCTTATCTTCACGATTTGCGGATATAACGGCCTGTATTTCAAGTGGAGCCTGCATAACTAGTTCAGTTTCGAGGCGCTGCTCTGCTGGCCTCTTAAAATCTTTCATTTCACCTTCTTTATGATGAGAGGCAGTGTGCTGTACTAAAACGGCTGTATTTACAGGCATGGAAGTATTTGCCTCAAAGGTCATTGGCATCTCCCATGTATCAAGCGGCGCTTCCTTATTTGCAGATTCGATACTTCGCACAAACACGTGATCTCGAGTTGGGACACTAAACTTAGCCTCGATGGTGGCTGGGAACTTTGGAGAAATAAAGACATTTTCTTTTTGGCTGGATTCGACAGAAATCACTGAGACAGCTTCAGCACACGGGATACTCATGTCAGCGGTCTCCCCACGTGGTAAACGACAAAGTTCATGGGTACCCACTGTGTTAATCGCTTCCGTATCTGTAACGGCTACAGTTGTGCTAGCGATTATTTCAGTTTCAGCAACACTGGCTTTAGGCACAGGAAGCGTGCGAAGAATCTCAGACTTCTGAAGAGATCCAACCTCAAGCACTTCGAGTGCCTGCTTGGTCTGGACGGTCGGTTGCACATTACGTTCAAACGGCATCTCTTTTTTGGCGAACTCAAGCTCTTTTTCGTGAACGACAGGGATAATGGTCTGAGCTGTCTCCTGATGAATAAGGGCAATTTTAGCATTCTCTGGTTTCATATATAGGGGTGTAACTCCTTCCTCGGGAACTTCAGTGGTTTCCGTCGCGGTCACATTGATAGCGCTATACTCAGGTATAGTGACCTCAACTGAGCGACCTGACGGAAGCTCCTCTGACGTGAAGCTTTCTTCCTTCTGTACGGGCGTCATCTCTGACACTGCGACAGCGTGATGCCTCGTTAGGTCTGTGGTGGCGGACTGTAAAAGCGGCTTGTCAGGGCTAAAACGGCCTTCATATTCAGCTATCGATACCTGTTCGATGGCGATCGTGTTTTGGGCCAACAGCTCAGGTCGCGCCTGGTGTTGCTCCGGTAGAATACTCGAAACGAACTCTCCGGTCGTGTGAACAACTGTATCAGCGCGGACGCCGATGTGTTGAGTCTCGATGACAGAGAGGTTAGCTCGCTTGCTCACCGGCTGATCCTGGATTAGCTCCCGTAACTGGTCTTGACCCTCCATCTCTGTAATTGTTAGGGGCTGATTAGGCAGGATACCGAGTGAGGTCGTGCATTCTTCTATGCGTTTCAAAACAACGTCGCCGAGGACGTACGCATGCGTCACCTGTTGAACGTTGAGGGACCGATAGCTCGGCAGAGACAGCTCGGCTACGCCGTGTTGTGCGTCAGGCAACTGGCAAGGTGCAAACGCGCCTTCCGTCTCGATCACCACTGTATCTGTGGTCGTGAAGGGTTCGAGCACGTCAAGCATAGTGCGCGCCCGACCCTTATCCCAACAAGCTGTCTCTACCTCGCCCTCGCGGGTTTGGGGTGTGACCTCAAATGCGTTGACGGCCACCTGGGGAACCAGTCCGACGTCGGCCGTGCTCTCTGGCGCCGCGTCGACCGCAAACGATTCCTCCTTACTTGCTGTGGAGGTCATGCACACACTGACAGAATGGTCATGCACAGAAAGATCAACTAAAGCATTTTTCGTAACGGGTTCGCAGTACGCGGTCAGTTGTTCTTCGCGTTCTGAGGGCATCACAGTCTCAGCAGTCAGGCCGCTCTGGAGCACCACACAGAAGTTTACGGTCTTAGTCTCGGGCAGTTGCACAGGCATAAGGCTACCCTCCGCCTCTGATGTTACTGTCTGTCCAATGACGAGTTGTCTTTTTGCGATTAGATTGATATTGGCCGTGTTGTGTGCTACCTGTTCAGATTTAAAATGCCCAGGCTTGTCAGCCGGCACCACCTCCTCACGTGCGAGCGTTTCGTGCTCCACAAAACCCAGCTGTGCCTTTTTGCCAGCAGGCAAATCAAGGATCTGCAAATCACTGCACTCAGTGCCGGCAATTACTTGATTGACATTAAGGTGCGCAAGCTGACAGAATGTTTTTTGTGCGTGCTGCATTTGTGGGTATATTTGGGTGTCAAGGATAAACTCACCTTCACCGGGGATTACCTCTTTAATGTCAAGGCCGATGGATTCTTCAACCAAAACGTCTGCTGCGCTAGTGTACGGCTTTACTTGTTCAAGGATTTTGGTGTTATCGTGCTCGATTGTTTGTGCCACTGTCATATGTTCCTTTGTAGGAATAACAATTTTGGATTTGCGCTCTGACGGTACAATTGCTTGGAAGTCACCTTCCTTTTGTGCCTCTGTTACCTCGGACGTTTGATAGCTTTCTAATAGAAGAAGATCTTGCTCTGCATGCGCCTTAGAAGGCACTGTAACTTCGAAATCAGCCTTACTATCCTGCAAAATAGTTTCTTGAATATGGAAGGCATGCTTTTTAACTTCGCTGGTGCCTTCCAAGCACGTTTTTGTAACAACTGCTTTTTCCAGAAAATCTACTGGCCTTTCACTTAGAATGATGCTGTCTATATTGATTGCATTTTGTGGAAGTAGATCTTGTCGGACGGTGTCTGTGATCACTTTTGAAACTACCATATCTCCAGTCGAATGGACTAATTGACAGGTGCTTACTTCAATGCTTTCACTGAATGGTATCGAACCTTTGGCCTGTACAGCTGGCTTCTTGGCAACGGGCTGTAAATTGTCCTTGGAATCAGCAGCAACAACCTCAGTGATCTGAATCGGATGTTTGCTTGTAAAAGAACCTACTGGCTTAGCCTGTTCAGGTTGTTCAATTTTCAGGTCTTCAGTATCAACACTGTGCACTGTTTGTGCAACACCCAGGCCAATTTGTGGCAAAAAATCAGATGAAGCTTGCAGAGTGATTGGTTGTATGTCAGCTGCCCTTGTGCATTCCAATTCAGCGGTCTGAATGATCGTCACACCGAGAGCTTCTGTCTTTTCTATAGTTACAGCTGAAATAGATGTGTCTCGCTGAACAAAGTCTTTAAGTGAATCCTCCTTATCAGCGAGGACATTCTCGACAATAGCTATCTCGCTTGAAGTTTGAAGATTGCTTTCAGCATTGTTTGTGATATATTTAAGCTCGAAGGCCTCTACGCGAGCCACTTCACCGGACTGGAGGTCTCTTACTGTAACAGGTGTTTGTTTATCTATTAATCTATGTCCCGTGGTTTCTGCTGGCGCAAATTCCTCAACTGTCCCTAGCTGATCATCAGCTGTTGTCTGCATAACAGTCAATCCTGATAGCGATCCCGATAAGTATGGAGCGATATTGGCTGCTAATACCGGTTTTTCTGTAAACAAACCTTCCTTAGACGCGGACTGCGTGGAATTGATCTCCAAAGCAGACTGTGGTATTAGATCTGCCGTAGCGTTGCCAGTCACTGCGTCAACTACATCGAAGGATCGAGTGCTGTGATCCGGTGCGACAAATTCAACTTCAAGTGCATGTTCACGAATGAGGTCTACGCTAGCGGTCTTGTCAATAGCCTTTGTTAGAGAAAGTGTGTTTTCTTTTTCCGCAACGAGCAAGGACTGGACATTTACCGAGAAAAGTGGATTTATTTCAGGAACAGCATTTAAAACAGAGGGAAATACGTCAGCCGGTAGAACAACTTCAGTTTCTATCAAAATCTGCTCGGAAATCGTTGTGGGCTCAAGGAAGTCGAATGACACTTCAGTTCCCTTAGTTTGAGGTTTTGCAACAGCGAACTTGGCTTCGGCCTCGTTCGGCTGGACAGCAAATTGTTCAGACGTATGGTACACTTTAATAACGCCGCGTTGTTGTATATTATGCCTATCGGGTTTGACTGGAATTTCAAGGACACCTTCCTTATTCCCTTGAACAATAGCATAGACCTCCATTGCTTCCAGCACACCTTGGACTTCCTTAGCAGACTTGTGTTCGAGGATCTTTTTGAAGCTCTCCTCTTTGTCCATAAACTGGACAACGTCAACGTTCAATGCCTCTTTGAGAAGCAGTTCAATTTTGGTCTTTTTCTCGTCCGCTTTCAACTTATCAAATATATCCTCTTTGAGGAATGACTGAACCTGTTCAACTTGGCCTACTCGAAGTACATCTAGAGGAGCTGTTGTCACCTTATGGGTTTCGGGTATTACGAATTCCTCAAGACCCGACTCCAACTCACATGAGGACTGTATGTGAATCTGTGCGACACGCTGGCCCTCCACAGGAGCGATTACTGCCGAACTTGCGTCCTGGGGAACGACGTCGAATGTGTGTGCTCCCTGTAGGGCTGTCTGAACGGTAACATTAACAGCTGATATCTCGCTGAGTTGCGGCTGAGCCTGAAGTTCCGGCATTTTTTCTGCGATGTCCAATGCGCCTTCCATATCAAGGCTTTTGGTTTCACGCACTTCGACTGCACCTTGTTGAAGAATTTGCGGCTGCACCTTATTGGTAAGTTGTTCTGATACAACAAAGCCTCCTTCAAGTTCATTGGTGGTAACTTCATGAACAACTATGGGTTGTTTATGGATGAAATCCTTTTCTACCCTTCGTGTCTCTGGCTGGTCCGGGTGCGACATAACTATTTCGCTTTCCGTTGGCTGGACTGCCTCAGTTGAGAGCGCTTGAGCAAGGATCAGCTCACCGACAAGCGTTTTTTCGTTAGCCTTTTCAACAATCGATACGCTCTCGCTTTCCAATAAAAGCGTTTCAGCAACTCCGCGAGCCACAGATACCACGCGTTGTACAGTGACGTTCTGTGTCTCGGGCTTTGGCGAGCCCTCTAAGATGCCTTCCTTATCCATGTGGTACTCAGACACCAACAAAGGCTCCTGAAGCATTAACGCAGGGCGGATTCGAGTCACGTTTGCTTTTTTCCGTTCTAAAATTTCCTCTTTCTCATTGCTGCGCGTTATTTCCGATTCAAGCGCCTTTGCAATTTCAATATCGACACTAGCGTGGTGGCTTGCAACATCTTTTTTAATGAAATCGCTAATGTTGTCAAGGGGTTGATTCTCACGTATTTCAATGGAGCGATCATTATCGATAGTGAAACAAAGATTTTGGCCTTCGGGGACAATAAATTTTGGTAAATATTCCTCTTTTATTGCACTTTCAACTTGTTGACAGATTGCGCTTTCTGAGAGCTGGAATATGGAATCAGCTTGAGATTTATCAAGTGTTACATCTTTCAAGGTCCCGGTAGTCCCGTACTGACTCGTCTCAAATGACTCTGAGGAAATATTGGGCAAGAAACGAATTTCAACCTTAGAAGTTTCTGGTAGTTCGGCCTTTTTGCGGGGCTTAATATTGTCATCAGCCTGAACTTGGGTCACCTCAGTAGCCATGCTCTCAATAATAGAGAAATTTTTCTGCTGTGTCACAGGCTTCAAAGGTTCGCAACCTTCCTCCCTTTCGATGCAAATGATCTCCTCAATATACATCGTACGATTTTCCAGCAATTCAACGTTGGGTTTTTGCTCTAACGGCTTTTCTGGAACATAATCTTTTGCCTGACAAAAACCTAAGCTTTCCAGAACCTCAACTGGAGTGAGCTCCAGCCCCACCTTTTTAGCGCTTATCTCGTTTGGCTTAAATACCTCAAGCGTCCCCTCTCTATCCTGAATTACGGTCTGTATAGTCTGCAGAGCGATTCGCTCAGCGAAATCAATGTCAGCATGGACATTTTCTGGTGGTTGAATGTCGAATTTGCCAACGATCTCCTGCGGCCTAGTCTGCACAACATCTAAAGGTTCAAGGGGACTCAACTTAGGCTTAGCTTTCTTACCTGTCAACTCCAATAAAACAAAGTCCGTTTCTTTATCAATGGCAATTTGCTCACCGTGAATCGCAGTTTTGTGAAGCTCGAACTCGTTTTTGGCAGTTTTAGCTTTGATAATGTCCCTAGTAAAGTCGGATTCCGTTTCTGTCGCAATAGTTTCGCTTGTTTCGTACGGTGAAACAGGTACAAAATCAAACTGCGCGCGGTCTGCTTGAGGTGACTGGGATAGGTGCAGATTTTCTTTTTCATCTGTGCATACGTGCATTACCGTTAGCGCGGTCTGTTCCAAAACGTCCGGAAGTGCTTTATGCGTGTCATAAACAAAATCTTCTATATTGAGCTCTTTTTCGTTAGTTGTAGCGATTGTCACCACGGCCGCCTTGCGTTTTTCTATGATTTCTCTTTGTTGCACCTTTTGACCTCTAGGCAATTTGTCCTTAGAAAGTATGAGCTCCTTTTCGCTTGTAAGTGTTGCCAGAACGCTGACAGCTTCCTGGAATGCCACATCAGTAGCTGCTTTTTGTACGGTCGGCAAAAACACTTCATCAATAAGCTCTTCTCGTTCTGTCGTCTGTACCCCCTGGACCTCCAGTGCGATTCGTGGTATTAGCTCCGGTGTAATATAATGTTGCTCGGGCATAGCAGGGGTTACGTAAAGCGCTTCCGTATCACCCTGTATAGGCTGACTAACATTGATCGCCGTTTGCAGATTTTGTATGAGTTTACCTTGTTGGAAGTTCTTTTTATCATCAGGTTGTTCGCCTAAAGATTCGGAAAGGACCGTTTCACTCAACTCCGGAATGGTAATTTCAATGAAGTTGCCAGTTGCAGTTTTCACTACGACTTCCTCGCTTACTAGTATCTTTTCAGAGTCAAGCTCGGTGTTATACTGCTGTTGCAGGGCACTTACAGTATCAAAGTTGGAAGTAGTAATAGATTCGATCGGCGCGATGGTTTTGAGCTCCGATTCTTTGTTAGCTGGTACAACTTCTTCAATGATAGTCTCATATAGTTCGGTGAGTAATGGTCGAGCGCTTGCGGAGTGCATTTTCAGCTCAGCAACGACGCCTTCTTTCATCGATGATTCCGTCTGTACCACATTAACCGCATGTTGCGCGACGATTTCGCTAGTGGATTTCTCGGAATGAGTTACTTCGCTAATGAAAACGTTTTCGTGATCATGAGGTACTGCCTCTTCAACGTGAAGAGCACTCAACGGAAGAAGCCTACAATCAGCAATCTGTGAAGGCCTCTCGTCAGGGCCAAGCAATGGTAGCAGCTCCGAGCTTTCCGGAGTTATCATAACGTCGAGGTTAGAAATGGATTGAAGCTGTATCGAAGCTGGACGCACTTGCTCAATACTTTGCTCTTTTTCGTCATAGTGTGTTCTAACTACCTGCAAGGCCCTGTGAGAAAGTAAGTCAACCTGGGCCTGAGAAGTTACAGGTAGTTTAATAGTAGTGTCAGTAATCTTTTCATTGGTGAGGGTGTCCTCAATGTGCAGTGGCGTTTGCAACAAAACGTCCAGCTGGGCCTGCCTTTCTTCGGGAATTACAGCATTGTATGGGGATGTCTCCTCGAAAGAATGTTTTTCCTGGACGATTAACGTGTGCAATGTGTCTATCTGTTTATCTGGGACAAGTTCGAATATTTTGTCTTTAGGCAGTGGACTCGTGGTATCATGAAGTAGTGTTTCGCTAAGGGAGATGGATGCCAAAGGCGTAAGACCCGGCTTAGCTGATTTAGGTTCTACTTGCGTAGAATCCTTGGGTTGAGCGGATTCGAACCCTTGAACTGTGGTGATGTACATTGGTGTTATGTCACTGAACGAAATGTCAGATTTGTGTGACCTTTGGGGGGCAATATCAAACTCTTTGCAGAACTCATCATCAATCGGGACAGTGAATTCATCGGCGTGCTCGGGTGCCTTGCGTAGGTGGATCTCTGTGATACCTTTCTCTGATATTGCCTGGATGATGATATCATGCCGCTTTCTCTCCTCTTCAACCTTCTGAATAATCGTAATCTGCTTCTCCTCCTCAGCTTGCCTCTGCCGTTCGGGCTGCTTAAGCTCTATTTTCTCCTCGATAATCTCCTCCTTTTCAGGTTTCGTGACGATGCTTTCCGTTGTAATAGTGACCTCAGCCGGCTTAGACGGAATCGAGATCAGCTCTGTTTCGTACCCCGTACTCTCGACAGTCACCTCTTTCTCGATGACCTGCCTGATGTCCCATTCCAACTCGGGAATCTCCTTCGACTCGAGTATTACGGAAGCACCTTTTTTGGCTTCTTTTGTGACGGTAACATCGATCACATGGCGGTCTTCTTCTATAATTCTTTCCTCGACTATTTCCGGCTTCGTTTCCTTCGGTTGAGGCTTCTCTTTAAGTTTTATCTCGGCCTTCGTCGTATCCTCAGGAATAAACTCTGCAAATATGGGCATAGAAAATTTAGAATAGAGATATCTCGAGATTACCTAGGTAGTTACTAAGCATGCAGTAAAGTTTCGTTCAGGCATAGCACAAAGCGCGACCGCGTGTTTGTTTGGTAAGGTGTTTTGTTGTGTGTTCGATACGTAATTTTGATGTCAGAAAAAAAAAAAGCTGTTTTTTTGTCTATACTGCTGCACTTACCCCTATGCTCCTTCACTTCTCGTTTCTTGACCGCCTCAACAATGGAAACATGTTTTTCCTCCGTCAGTTTACTATCACACTCCACAGTAATGGGTCTTTTGTAAGTTTGCTTGACATCAACCTCAAAATATCTTTCGCTCATACAAGTGATATCATGCTTTTCTTCTGCTTTTGGCTTTACAATAGAGACAACGGTAACTTCTTGTTTGTATTGTTCTTTCTGCTCTACTGCTACTGGCCGCTTTTCGGGTCTCTTTTCTTGAAGCAAAGCCACCTCACCAGATTCTTTGACTATAGCCTGGAAAGGCGCTTCAACTGATTCCTCTTCTTCTGGCTGTTCAACTATGATGACTTCCTTTTCGATTGTCTTTTTTAACTTAGGCACGACCTCTATCTCCATGTGTTTAAGGTCCTCCAAAGAAGTGGAGTCGGTATCGATAGGTCTTGAATAGGTCTGTTTGATGTCAAAATCTGGATAGGTTTCGCTTTCAACCAATATTTCGTACTGTTTTTCTGGCCTAAGCTCTCCGATGGAGACAATGGTAATTGATTTTTCCTGAATTTTCTCCTCAATTTTCGGCACGGACGGCCTTTTCTTTGTCCTTGTTGGTTTCTCTTTTCCAGTCAGGTCTACACTTGATGTTTCAGCTACTGTTGCCTCAAACGGAACCTCCTCAGGAACCTCCTCTTGCTGCTTGTCTTTCTCAATTATCTTCTCTTCTACAACGGCTGGTTTACATTTAATCTCAAATTCACTTCGCTTAAAATCCTCCAACAAGGCTGAGTTTGTACTAACAGGCCTTTTATAAATTTGTTCAACTTCCACATCAGGATATGCCTTGCTTTCAGCTGTGATGTCGTGTACTTCTTCGCGTTTTAGCACTTCCAGAGAAATATCGATCACTAACTTTTCTTGGATCTCCTCTTCAACCTTCTGCACAGAGGGCCTCTTCTTTGGCTTTTCTGTTTTTTTCGTCTGGACTAGGTCGACACTTAAGGTTTCAGCGACCGATGTCTCAAATGGAATCTTTTCAGGGACTTCCCCTTTGGGTATATACTCTTCGAAGACCTCCTCTACAATGATTGATTTGCCCTCGGCCTCGAGTTCGCTACGCTCAAGTTCTTCCAATAAAGTCGACTTTACATCAATAGGTCTTAAATAGATTTGTTGGACATCGATATCAAGATAGGTTTTGCTTTGAACAACTATCTCGTACTTCTTTTCAGGCTCAAGCTCCCCAATAGAAACAATAGTTGTTGGTTTTTCCTGAATTAGCTCTTCAGTTTTCTGTACAGAAGGCTTCTTCGTTGGTTTTATCGGTTTCTCCTTTTCTGCTAGATTTACACCTGAAGTTTCGGTAAGTAATGTCTCGAATAGAACTTCCTCAGGGACTTTTTCTTTCGGCTTCTTTTCTTCAGCAGTCTCCTCTACAACACTTTGTTTACTCTCAACTTGAAGTTCGCTACGCTTAAGGTCTTCTGATGTCGTAGAGTCTACATGGATAGGTCTCTTATAAATTTGCTCAACTTCAAAGTCAGGATAACACGCGCTATCTGTGTCAATATCATATTGTTTTGAAACACTTGGCTGACCGATCGACACAATCGTAAAAGGCAGCTCAGTGGTCTCCTCTTTAGTCATAATAGAAGGTCGTTTTTTGGGTCGTGTCGGTATTTCCTTTCGTGCAAGTGTGACCTCGGATCTTTCCTCAACCGTGGGTTCGAATGGTATTTGATCTGGTCCCTCTACAATTAATTTAGTTTCTGCTTCCACTACCTTTTCGACTGTAGCAATCTCTGCTAGGACTTCTTCAACTTTCGTCGTTTCGAGCTCACTTCGCTGTAGTGCAACTGGCGTTGAAGCATGTACGTCAACAGGTCTTTTGTAGACGTGCTCAAGTTCAGGGTACGTTTCGCTTTCCACAAGAATGTCGTACTGCTTTTCTTTTACAAGTTTTCCAGTAGAAACTATAGTCATCGGTGCCTCGAAAATCGTTTCTCCTTCTTTAATCGGGACGGGCATTTTTGGTTTTTCGGTTACTTCTTTGCGATCGGAGAATAATACCATTGCTTCAGACGTTGTCTCTACAGGGATCTTTACGGCAACGAATTCTCTCAGACTCGGAATATCCTCCAAAATTCGTTTGGGAAGGGCCTGAATTTCACTATGCTTAGGCTCCTCATAGGCAACAGCATCAGTTTCGATTGACCGCTTGTAGGTCTGAGAGACAGTGAGATCTGTATACTCGTCACTGGCTACCACAATGTCATAGCTAGTCTTTTCAGAAGGTTTCGATATAGATATTATATCTATCATCTGTTCCGTAGGTTTTTTATCCTTTTCTCTAATCAATGATGGTTTCTTAGGTTTCTGAGGTTTACTAAGAGTGACGTCTGAGGTTTCTATCATTACAGTCTCAAATAGTGTTTCTGCGATAGCTGGCTTATCGTCTCCGCCTTTAACCTCTTTTATGTCAGTTTCAATCACCCGTTTTGCAGGAGCTATAATTTCGCTGTGCTTAAGTTCCTCATGGGTTATAAAGTCAATACGTATAGGCCTTTGATCACTCTGCACTACCTCGAAGTCGGGGTATTCGTGGCTTTTAACTTCCACGGTACGCTCTTTTTCTTCCGTGAGTTTGTCGATCGAGATAATGGCAACTAATTGTTCGACAACTTCTTCTTCACTTTGAACGGATGGCCGCTTCCGCGGCCTCTTCTCTTTATCCTTCTGCATCAGTGTGATAGCAGAAGTTTCAACTTCACATGGTTCAAATCGTTCTTCTTCAGCATAGGCTTCTTCCTGTTTCTCTGGAGAGACCTTTCTTATGGTACCTTTTTTAGGCCGAGCCTCAATTTCGCTTCGATGAAGTCGTTTGAACGATGTTGTGTCGAGTTCAACAGGCCTCTTGTAGGCCTGTTCAACATTAATCTCCGGGAGCTCGCTGCTTTTGACGACTATACTGTACTGATGATCTTCTGTCGGTTTACCCATAGATACAATAGCCACAGGCTGGTCTTGAATTTCATCCGGCTTTGCAAAAGAAGGACGTTTCTTAGGTTTCTTTGGCTCATCCTTTTTAGCCAATACGATCTCGGACGTTGCTGTTGCAGCTGGCTCAAATGGCTTTCTTTCGGGCGCAGCTTCTTCTATTTTCGTCTCCTTGTCTTCTGTAACGAAAGGAGTTTCGCTAGGCCTTCTCGGTAGCGCATCAACCTCAGACCGCTTCAGCGTTTCAGGCGTTACGGAATCGACACTCACCGGCCTTTGGTACGTCTGCTCAACCGTCGAAATCTCCGGATATATTACAGTTTCGATCACGATGATACGGTCAGTATCCTGCGTTGGTTGGCTTAAGCTAATAATCGCTATAGGCTGTTCAGTTATTTTTTCTTCTTCCATTTGGACTAATTGTTTCTTGGTCGGTTCTTCCTTTTTAGCCGGGAAGGTTACGGTTACTTCGGATGCTTCAGTAGCTATCGTTTCAAAAGACATTTCCTCAACTACTTCTTTTGGTATTTCTTTCTTTTCACCCTCCACTTCTTTGACGGTTGTAGTTTTACCACTTGCCTCAATTTCGGTGAATTCCAATTCTTTTTCTTGAATTGCCTCAACCTCGATGGAAGGTACGTACCTCTGTTGTATGTTGATATCCGGAAGCTCGTCGCTTGAGACCGCAATTTTAGGAGTCTTATAATGTGTGTATCTTCCGATAGAAATTCCGACCGGCTGACTAGCTAGAGGTTCTTCTACCTCCATCGGGAGTTCCTGACGTTTCTTTTTTTCCTTCGTCGGTTTCAGTTTTGAAGCGAGCTTTACATCTGACATGATTTCATACTTCCTTTCCGCTGGTACCTTTTCAATTACAATCTCCTCAATTATTACAGGTTCATCAGGTTTTTCTTGTATACGCGGCGACATATCGACTTCAGAGCGCACCAATTCATCGGGAGAAAGAACGCTAACGTCTATGGGTGTCTTGTACGCCTGTTCTATATCGAAATCGGGATATTCGCTACTACCAAGAACAATATCGTGCTGAACTCCGTCAGGGTTTTCAATTGAGACGATAGTCACTAATTGCTCGTCGAGCTGCTCCTCAAAATCAATGGACGGTTTCTTTTTAACTTTCTTTGGTTTATCACCCTCCGTTAAAGCGATATCAGTGTTTTCTATCTCTGTTGCTTCAAACAAAACTTGCTCGCGCACTTCCTCTTGAGGCTTTTCTTCAACAACCTTGGGTGTCCTTTCCAGCCGGGTTTTCAGTTTTTTGGTCATCTCGATGTCAGTTGAATATTGTTTTTCTGTACTACTTGCCTCAACAGACACAGGTCGAACGTATGTTTGCGATACATCGAAGCTGGGGGCCTTTCTGCTTTCAAGAGCGGTGGTAACCTCTTGCCCTTTTGGCGCAATTGCCGAATCGATAAGAATGGGAACTTCCTCAATCGTTTCTTCATCACCCTTTTTCGGTTCGGTTGCCCTTATCAGCTTAGACGGCTTGCCCTTTTCTTTCAGCGTAATATCGGTTGTCTCTGAGAATACCATCTCGGTAGAATCAATACCCTGGTCCATCACTTGCTGTTCCTTTTTAGGTTTGTCTTCTACAAGAATTGGTGCTTCTGGAGCTTGCAAAGGAAGTTCTTCTGGCTTATATTCCTGTGGCAAGAATACTTCTTCCACATATCTTTGCGGCCCAACCTGTTCTTCATGCTCCTCAAGACTGACGTCTTCATGGACGATGTCCTTGAAAACAACCCTTTTCTTCTTAGGCGCCTTCTTCAAGCCTGAAATTTTAAGAAAATACGGATTAAGATATGTATTCTGTAGCTTCAAATAGTGCGACACGTGTAGCCTGTTCGCTGCGAATCACTGCGACAGAAAAAAAGCGGCAAGCAGCTGCTGCGGTCTTTTCAGCATGAAAAGTAAAGCATAGGATATGGTTCGTTGGCTTTGGGCTCCAACTCTTTCGTGGAAGAACTCGACCTCAGTGGTAATTTATTGATGTGACCGTTATCACAATAAAGCTAATTATTTTGTGTATCAACAAACGTCCAGTAGTAAAGGTCAGAATCGCAGTACTTGCTACGATGGACTTTTACCGACAACTATAAGACCCACTGAACTAGAATAACTCGCAATTTGATTTCCACTAGACAAAGTTAAGTATTATTTTAAAGGTATTACATACCCATCATATATACCGTACATTACATTATCTATAACAATCAGTATAAGCGTACTCATCTACATTTTTTCGCCCTTAATACACATCTATACACCGATCGATTTACATTTGTAATTTATTTCATGAGAAACGGTCAATAGTAGTTGCAAAATGACGCACGTTAGAGGAAAATAAGCCCATTTAGTACACGCAATCTTTCAAACCTGAAAGCTGAGCAAGCAGCGGAGTGTATTGCAGCCTGATAAGCCCGCGATAAAGCTGACAAAAAGCAGAAGTCGTAGATAGATACGACATTGATGTGGGCACCTGACCTACCTGTATCTACGGGAGTAGTCTGATTATCAATTTCTTTTGGCGTCTCCCAGGTCTCACCCATGACATCTTGACCGGTTAGCTCAGTGTACATTTTCTGGAGCCCGCGCACACTCAGAAGCTTTTTTATACAGATCTCTGGCGTGTGCACTTCAAACATATGAGGCTTCATGCTGAAAGCAGATGTTTTTGCACTTTCATAGTGCCAGGTTTTATCGATTGTGGTATCCTTAGCATTAGAAATGGAATACACACGCGATTGATCACACAGGGGTTTCAGTCTCGCAGTCATCCAAATGGGAGTCAAGTCATAAACTTGTGGCTCGTGTATACTAGTTACAACTACTTGCTCCTCTTGTTTGTCCACTTTTTCTGGCTTTTGCTTTTTGTGGGGTCGCTCGCTGCGGATGAGCATTGCCAAGGACGTTTCTGCCCGTTCCTCATCTGTTCTTTTGGATTCTGTTATGGTACGGATTTTGATGTATTGCTTGACCTCAAAGCCTAATCGATCACTGCTACTAACGGTAATACTGTGTTCCACTTTTGGTTTACTTAGCTTACCGCTGTCGAGAATGATCTCGACGTCCTCAACAATACCCTCGGTTTTTTCGAAAGTCTTCTCTTTAGGTTGCTTGGCTGAACTTTTTGATTCGAGAATGACGACTCCTTCGCTAATTTCTCTTGGTTCGAAAGGTCGCTCCTCAAGTGCTCGATCTAGTGGTATCTTATGCTTTTTCTTTGCCTTTCTCTCGCTATCCTCATCAGAGCCTTCCTCTTCAGGAACCTCGACGGTCTTGAGAGTTTTCACCTCCTTAGTAGATTCATTCGGAAGCGTTGTAGACTCTACGACAGCCTCGACTAAGAACTTCTTTTGTTCTGGTTTCTTAGATACCACTATTGCACATTCCCTGACTTCGAGTTCTTCAATACCAGGTTTCACAAACAAATTTTTTTCAATGGTGTCATCAAACGATTTAGGTGTGCTAGCCCTCACTGCTTTTTCGATTTTTTTAGGCTTAGTTTCCATCTCAAGAACAGTTTCAGCGCGCTCGTCTCTAATACATGCGGTAACTATTGGAGTCATCAGCTTTTGGTAAACATCAAAGTCGGGGTATTCGGTACTCTCGATTGTTATGTCACAACTGCTTGTTGGTTCTTCGTGTTTGGAAGTATTTAAAATAATTTTCGCATGTTCAATTATGTCTTCTCTTCGCTCTAGAGCCTTTTTCTTCGGTTTCCTGCTAGTAGATCCAGACTTCAGTGTCACATCCTGTGTAATGATATGATCCATTTTGAGAGGCACCTCCTTAGTAACTGTAGCTTCAACACTGTCAGAAAATATTTTAGTTCCTTTCTCGGGCTGTTCCAGATCATCCGTTACGGTTTTGACTACTTGGCCTGTTGTAGATTTTTCAGAGGCCTTGTCTATATCAGGCTTTTTATGTACCTCAACCATGAATTTTTCAATGTTGGGTTGTTCTTTACCGGCGTATTTAGTGTCCTTCATCCTGTCAGTGTTTGTTGCTTGTTCACTAGCCTTAGGTTGCTTCATTTTAAGCTTTTTCCTTTCTGATGTTTTACCTTTGATAGCCATTTCAATCGTAGTTTCAATATGGCTTGAAGTGTTATCTTTCGACTCGACTGCGATCGGCATTTTTGGTAGTGGTTGAACCTCAAGCGTAGGGTACTTACTGCTGTCAAGAACCATTTCGTGAGTTGTCTTAGGTTTCTCAAGCTTACTTATCTCTATGATGGTTTGCATATCTTGTAGGATCTCATTTTCAAGCTTGAAAGCCTTTTTCTTAGTCTTTCCTTTAGGTACGTGTCTCGTAAATTCGATATCCCGAACGCTCGTCATTGTTGTTTCAAATGGAAGATCTTCAAGAAGATCCTGTTTAACTTCTTCAGGCAGCCTTGTTTTCTCGGTCTTTGGTTTTTGATCGTCAATAGTTTGGTGCTCTTCGAATTCTTTAGGTGTCTCCACGCTGTACATTTCAATGGTAGGACCCTCAACGACTGATTCGATAACCTCAATATCCTTTACTGCAATCACTTCCTTTTCGGATGCCTCTTTAACCTCACCCTTTGTTTGAGGCTTCTTTTTCTTGGTATGCGTTTCTACACTTTTTTTAGGCACGAGAACGGTCTCAAACGCGGTCTGCGCCCGGTCATCTGTCATTCCCTTAGATTCTAACACAATCGGTTGTTTAATTATCTGATTGGTTTCTAGCTCTGGATAGCCAGTGCTATCGACCACAATTTTCTGTTCTGGTTTTTTGTCACTCAACCATTCATATTCCATTGTAACGTGGATCTTCTCGGGAGATTCTTGTTTCTTTTTAAGCTTTTTGGATTTTTCAGTCTCAAGAATTATCTCCGCCGTAGTTTCAACTGCTAGTTTTAGAGGGTGCTCTTCCGAGGCCGGCTGTTTAGACTGCTGTTTCGGAGCTTCTTTCGGCTTCTCTTCAATAAATTTAAGAATATAACCCTCTTCAGGTTGCTCAGTCATCAACCTTTCCTCAATTGCATCATCTGGATACGTTACAACCTTAGTAATAGATTTTGTTACTGAATCCTTTTTAATCGGGTGTTTAACAATTTGTTCCCTGGTCCCAACTAATCTTCTTGGGGTTGTTTCTATCTCAAGAAGCTCTCTCCTCTGAGTCGCTATGGTCTCTGTTTGGGTCTCAATAGGTCTTAGTATGGTCTGTTCAACTTCGAACTCAATTGGGTATACAGTGCTTTCGACAACAATGTCGTATTTCGTTTCTGTAATTTCCTGCTCCTTTATATCGAACGTTATCACGGGTCTTTTCGAAGTCACAACAAACTCCTCTAAAGCGGGCTTCTTTGGTTTCCTCTTTAGTGGCTTACCTGCTAATGTTATGGGAGTTGTGTGTGTTTCAGTAGTCTCAAATGGCTCGAGATCTGTTGTTTCTATTACGGACATTTTTTCATCTTTTGGAACAGTATCTGATACTTTGCCGGGTGTTTCTTCGAATTCGACTATTTGAACTGACGCGTGCTTTCTCTCTTTTGAAAGCATTTCGATGACTGTTTCGACGCGTCTAGTCGTTGTGTCTTGCGAACTGATCTCCACTGGCAGCTTAAATCTTTGTTCAAGATTGGGATAGCTTGCGCTTTCAACGACTACATCATGGGTTTGTTTTTGTTTGTCTACTGTCCCAACCTCTGTGATCACTTCAATATCTCGTAAGGTCTCGATATATTCAACATATTTCTCTTTTCTAGAAGCCTTCTTTTCCGATGAGCGCGTCTTGAGTACTAAATGGCCCAATGAAATTTTACGTACATCAAATGGAAGGTTTTCAAGTTCTTGATCTTTATTCTCCGTTAGTTGTTCTTTCAGTTTCGTAGGCTGCTCTTCAGTATCTTCTATCTTAGATGTAACCATTTGTTCGTTCAGCTTATAGTCGAAAAGCACGGGCTCTTCTACGACCTCTATAATCTCTTCAATCGCAGTTTTTCTCGATGGCTTGTTCGGTTTCGTGGGCTTCGGCGTCTCCTCAAAGACTTCATATGATTGTGTAATTATATCACCCTGCCTTATACGAACTGTAGTTATTTCATCCGTACTTCCATCCGGACGTTGAACGATTATGGTTTCCTCTTCTGTTACTGGCTTTTTGTTGTCCCTTTCTGGTCTGCCATCTTTAAGCTGTGTTAACACCTTCTCAGTAGCTTCTTCATAAATCACTTCGTGGGGAACAGTTTCGGTCACTTCGACGACACCTTCGATTTCTTCCACATCTTGGATCAGGGAACGAGGAGTCTTCCTTCTTGTACCGTTTGGCTCAGATTTTCGAGGAATGAGCTCTTCTATAGTTGTTTCGAGAGTTCCATCAGATTTCTGTCTCGTCTTTGTTATTACCGTAGCGGTACGACCATCAGGAACGTATATTTCCTCGATACTCTCTTCGATGACTTCATGCGTCGGTTCCCTAATGGTGTATGTATGCGGAATCGTGAGGTAGACAGTGATGGTACGTTCAACGATCTCACCTTCGTTGGTAACAATGCTAGCCTTGCGCCTTGTCTTCTTGACTTTCTTATCCATCGTGATACTCGTCTCTTCAATCACATCGCCAGGATGGGCCTCCGACAAATCATATGTGTGCGCAGGAAGATCAACTGTTTTAACTTTCTGGGTGATTACGCCCCCTTTGGTGACAGTCGTTTTTGTTGTGCGTTTTTTCGGTTTACCTTTTGCGTCGAAATAAATCATGGATGACTCGTGTGAAGTATCTCGTTTTACTGAAATGGCCTCGATTTGGATAGGTTTGACTATTTCAAGTTCTGGGTATCCTATTGAAGTAAAACTAATATCCTGCATTGATGTTTTCGGCTCTAAACGAATGATTTCAGTAGTAATTTCACGTTTCTCAGCGCTATCTACCGTATCCCTAATAAACGATCGCCTTTGAGCTTTATGCTTACTAATCTTAGCTACATTGAGCTCGATCGTTTGCTCTACGATCTGATCGTAAGATGGCGTTTCTAAAGGTGCAACACTTTCCATGAGAGTTACAACATTTCGTTCATATGAACCATCTTTCTTTTTCTTCTTTTTCTCAACAGTGGTCACTTTCTTATTGGGTAGATTAACGATTGTAGTACACTCCTCCACCACGTCGGAAACAGGTCTACCATACATATCTTTATTGACGGGGGTACCTTCTACAACACACATCTCCGGATGATGGATTCTTTCAGGTGTGATTAGAGAGAAATATTCTACTTTCGGTTTGAATTCCCATGTTTCGGTAGTTTCATGACAGACATTTCCATCCGGACTCTTCACTTGCTTAGTGGCTTTTTGCACAGTCAACTTACCAGTGTCAAATGTAACTTCTTCGGTTCGCTCAATAGGTTCAGGCAATTCGTAAATCTGTGAGACAGTTTCCCATTCGTCTACTGTTTCGATAGTGCTTTCCACGGTCCGTTCTATACTTCCGTCAGGCATTTTAATTTTTTTAATAGTTCTTTTTCTCGGTTTTCCAGCGTTATCGATAGTAAGAAGTACTCGGTCTTCTGTCACATTCGATGTTCGTCTTCCTTGCCAGTCGGTCTTAACGGGAATTGTTTGCAGTACCTCTAGGTCTGGATAGCCGAGAGCCTCGAGTGTAACTTCATGCTCTGACGGTCTTGGCCTTAGTACTGTCACTTCAATCAGAGACAACTGCTCTGGAATGTGTCTCCATTTAGGCTTCTTTCTGATAACCTTTTTCTCAGTAATATCGGCAACTTCAAGTGTGATTTCGCTTTCTGATACGGTAATGAACTGGTCCTCTGGAGCGCGATCTGTATATATGCGGGTAAGTTCGCGGCGTGGTTTTAGACGCTTTGTCAAGAATTCGAGAACACCTGGAATAATCTCCTCTTCTTCCGTGGTTTGCCGTTTAACGTCTTGCGGCATTTCTGCGCTCCCTGGTAGAAGTTCTTCCATTGCCGCCGATTCTTCCTTGACTTCCATTTCCTCGACAATTTTTTTAACGGTTCCGTCAGGTTGCTTAGTTTTCTTAGTGACAGTTTTAATTTTAACATCTTTACCGCGTTTCTTCATCCTTCGTACCTCGAGAATTTGTTCAGTTACTTCACGATCCATGATTTCGATGGGTATGTGGGGTCTCACTTCAAAATCCGGAAGGCCTATTGATGTTAAAGCCACGTCGCGGAACTCGGGCTTGGGCTGATAAATTGATATCTCAGTTATAATTTCCTTCGGACCCTCGTCTTCTGCAGTAACTGTTTTGATCAGTTTCTTTTTATCCACACGGCCGGTCTCGAGCACTATACTCGACTGTTCGATCAGAGATGCCATTTCTTTTGCAAGCGGTGCTTTGTCAATGACCTCTTCCTCAACCGCAATTTTTTTGCGATCATCTAGATATACTTCCGTCTTTTTAATTTCCTCGTCGTCTATATCTTCGATGGTATAATGAATTAATTCCTTTATCGAATCGGGCATCTCGGTGACTCCAGAATCAATACTGCATTCCGTTTCGATCTTATTCATCTCTACAGAAATGACAGTACCTTCTGGCAAAACTTCCCTTTCCTTCGGCTGATCTTCCGTAGGCATATCTGTGGCGGGTTTAGTAACCGTTACTTGTTCTATAATTCCATCAGGCTGGCGAGTCTTTTTGGTTACCTTTTTGAGTTTTGGGCAGTCGATTGGCTTAACATATTCAACTTTCTCCTCAGTAATTGGCTTGGTTTGACCTCCCAGAGGCACGCTCATCTCAAGTTCAGGAAGGTCTACTTTCGTGGGAGTTACTAATCTAAAGTACTTTGGATGTGGCTTGAATTTAATCGTCTCTACAGTGTAAGCGGGAATATCTGCTATTTTAGAACTAGTTATTACTTCTTTCATAATCTCCGCACCGTCAAGTACGGTTTTCTCGGTGACTATGCTTTCTGGTCGTGCTTCACCAGCTCTGCTGGGCCTCAAATCACCCTCCTGTGGCTTTTTAAGTTCCATTTCGGTAACCGTTTCAACTGTTCCATTAGGTTGACGAACCTTTTTAATTTTTATTGTTTTCTTAATATCGTGTGTAATTTCCACAATAGTGGTTTCATTAAAAACAGGCATTTGTTGGCCGCTTGAATCCGTTTCTATTGGCAGAAGCTGACGAACTTCAATAGCGGGGTATCCTATTGATTCCGTATCGATGGTAACATGTTCATCTTCTTTGGTTTTCTTTGGAGTGAAAATGATGGTTTCAAGTTCGGTTTGTTCTGGCTCCTTTTTGTCATCCTTGCTCACAGACTTCTTTTTCTTAGTTATTTTTCCAGGTTCGAATTCGATAGTAGTTTCGGTGATCTCTTCGCTTGGGGCAGTTGTGTCGCTGAGAACGTAATGTTCTGGGAAGACTTCTGAAATCTCGCCAGTTTGCTCAATACTTCCGTCAGGCTTCCTAACTTTTTTGCTCTTCTTTGTCGTCACTTTTCCTCGAGAATCTTTAATGGTCTCCGCAGTAACTTCGGTAGTTTGTTTCGGCTGATTTCTTGCGTCTATTTCAACTGGTCGTTTGTCCAGAAATTCGAATTCAGGTATCCCAAAACTAGTTACATCCACAAAACGCTCCGTATTTGTCGGTTTTAGAATTGAACTAACGGTTTCAACAATTTCGATTTCTCCCTCTTTATGAAAATCACACGTTTTCTCTTTTTGACGCTGAATGTGAACGCCTTCAAGTGCAATTGATTCTTCAGTTGTCTCCATAAAGGCTTCCTTTTGGGAGACGTCAAATGTAAATGGCACAAACTCTAAGATATCGGGTCGCACCTCAAGAATTTCGATTGTGCGTTCGACACTTCCATCGGGTTTCTTTTCCTTCCTGATTTTGGTCGTTTTCTTACGGCCCATTTTGCTATCAGTAGTTGTAGATGATATTTTTATAGGAGCATTTTCAACGTCTTTGGAAGTCATCTCAGGGTATCCGATCGACTCGGCTGTGATTTCAGGCATTTTGTCATCCACCTTGAGGCAAGTGGTATCCGTGGTTAACTTTTCTACTATATTGCCTTGTCGCTTCTCTCGCGTAAGATTTTCCTTATATACTGTTGCTCCGTGGAGGTCAATTTTCTGTTCAGTGATTTTAGTCACATCTGTCTCAGGAGTGACCTCGAACTCATGGATCGGATAAGTTTCCTCTTCAACAATGAAGAGCACGGATCCATCGGGTTTTCGGATACGCTCAATCTTGTTTTCACGCTTGATCTGGTTGTTTACCTTTTGCTTTTCGACGACCGTCTCGTGGGTCTCCTTTCTGGGAACCTTTCCAGTTTTAGGGAAATTTGTTAACACTGCTTGCAGCGAGGGGTAGTCAAAGAGTTCTACGGGTGTCAACACATATGCCGTTCGCGGTGTGTATTCAATCATTTCGACGGTCTTGTCGATAACATTAAGTGATGGTCTTTTTATCGTTTTTCGCCTTTTAGTAATCGTTCCTGAAGGCACCTCCTCGATGGTTTCGGATAACTCGCAGGGAGTAACCTCAGCATCTTCAGGAAGCGTCACCACGAGCTTTTCGATCACTATCTCGTTGCCACGTTCATCAGTCCCTTTCGGCTGTTTAGTAATCCTCTTTATTGTGCGTTTGCCCTTCTTCTCGATTATCTCTGTTGCCTTATCGGGAAGCTCTTCAACTGTTATCCTTGCCAGCTGTCCTACGTCCGCTTTGGGATAACCTAACGAGGTCAATGTAACGGGCCTTTCAGGCTCCTTCGAATGTACGACTACAGTCTCGACAACATGTTCAATCACGTTCTCTCTTGATAAATTCATTTTCTTTTTGGTCTTCTTAATTTTACCACGAGTTAGTAATTGAATTTCCTCGGTGCTAGTTGAGTCAAGGTCTGGTCGATCAATCTTGTGTAAAGCTGTTGTTGCAACAACCTTTTCTATTGTACCATCCACTTTATGAGTTTTCTTTGTTTTCTTTTTGGTTAGCCTCTCGGGCGAGGCAATTGTTTCTTCTGTCACTTCGCATATGTCTTCAAGGGGCCTACCTGTTAGATCATATTTTTCGGGAAGAACTTCTATGAACTGCATTTCCTCTATCCCGATCTGATCGAGCCGGATATTATAATATTTGGGTTTCGGTGTGAACACGGTCGTTTCAACGAGTTCCTCGGATACTGCATTTGACGGTTGCCTTTTCTCGACAGTCCTTGTGATCGTACCAACGTCCAGAACTTTAGTCTCCTGTTCTATTGTATCAATTGGCAAAGACGCATCGTCAAACACCTGCATGTGCTGTTCGACAACTCCATCAGGTCGCCTTTTCTTCGATGTAACTTTCTTTTTAGGATGTCCTTTACTATTCATTGAGATGAGCGTTGTTTCTTCGAAAATGTCTTCCGGTCTGCCTCGCGAGTCGAGGCCGATAGGTAACTTCTGTTGCAATTCGAGTTCAGGGAAACCAACGGACGCCACAGAAATGCTGGGAGAGTCCGGTTTAAATACTGTGCTTTCAACCATTATTTCTGCTTCAATAGTTTTATCATCCAACAAATGCTTCCTCACTAATCTCTCTTTGCTCACTTTAGCAACATTCAGGGTTATTGTTTCAGTTTGTTTCTCAAACTCCTCCTCTGTCGGCATTTGGCTGATTGTCTCGGTACTAGTGATGGTTTTCTTCACTCTTCCATCTGGTTTTCTGGTACCCTCTTCAACAACTTTACCTTTCCTGGAAGGCGACTCAATGATTGTAACTGTCTGCTCACTTGGTGTCTCGACCTGCTGCAAGCCCCTGATTCTTGGTATTTCCTCTGGAAGTTCCACGATTAAGCCTTTAATGCTGTGTAGCTGAGGTGAAGGTGAAAACTCAGTAATTTTACATGCATCGATCGTTTCTTTGCTTGGAGTTTGAATGGTCCTAATCGCTTTACGCACTTGCAGGGTACCCGCGTCAAAGGTCTCTGTTGTATCGGTTACCTGATCTGGTGTCCAGGTAATATTAAACTCCTGAGGTTTGATTTCCATTTGTGAGAGCCTTTCAATATTGAACTCTACCACCTTTTTAGTAGTTCCATCTTTCAATGTTCTCACTTTTCTGGTCTTTTTGGTCTCTGTTTTATCTTTATCCATAGTTATTTCTATAATCTGTTGCTCAATTGTGGAACGCCTCCTACCGCGAGAGTCAATCACAAACTCGATCGGAAGCACTTGCTTGACTTCCAATTCAGGATACCCAAGAGACGTAGCCGTAACTTCAGGATACTCTGGTTTCTTTTTAAGGGTTATTACATCAATCGTCATGTTCGGCGTCGTTTTATCCGTCACTCTTTTCTTCATGATGACCGCTGTTTCCACGTCGATTGTTTCCTCTGAAATAGAATCAAATTTAGCTGTGGAAATGAGGTTTGTAAAGTGAATATTATCCGGGCTAGCACCTGCGTGTTGGCTTTCGATGGTTCGAAAAGCATATTCCTCATAAGGGATACTACGAACGAATACTATCTGTTCAACTATTCCTGAAGGTCGACGGATTGTTTTTATTTTCCGCTCTTTTGGTTTACGGGCTCTGTCAATAAATGTCTGTGTGGTTTCGCGCTCTAAAGTACCTGAAAACATCACTGTAACATCGCTCGGCGTAGATATGTTTATATCCGAGTAGCCTAATGACATAACCTCAATAGGAATTGGTTCAGTAATTAGTCTTTTCGAGTTTGGAGTAAATATCAGAACCTCAGGACCTTCCTTATATTCATCTAGAAGTTGATGAACTTTTGGCATCATCTTCCTTTTCAGAACCGTGCCACTTTGCAAGATTATAGTGTTCTCAGTGATCGGTTTAAACCAACTAAGGATATCGGGTTTTCTATGCGCGTCCTGTACGGTACTCTCGGTAATTGTTATCTTCTCAATGCTACTGTCAACCCTTTTAATCGTTTTTGACCTTGTGCTTTTCACAGGTTTTGTGTCATCACTGTCAATGAGCTTCTCTTCAACTTGAACAAGAATAGGTTGTGGATTGGAATCCAAAGGAATTTCACAGAACAGTTCCAGCGGAACTTCGTCGGTTACACGCCTCGGTGAGAACTGAACTTCCTCAATCGTAATTGTAGATGGAGCTATGTCAGACGGTTTTATCGACGTTTTCTTTCTAATAATGCGCGCCTCTTGTGGTACACTGAACTCAGGTAAAGGTCTCATGGTTACTGTGTAGTATGTATGTAAAGGGATGGCCTTCTCGGTTACAGATTGCTCGACTACTCCAGATGGCATTGTTTTGGTTTTAATAGTTCTCTTAATGGGTATCCCTTCCTTACTAATAAATATCTCAGTAGTGTAAATTTCGATTTCGCTGGCCGGAGACGCACTCGAGTCAACAACGATTGGATAAAGCACATTAAGTTCTGGATATCCTATAGAATTATATTCTATGTTTAATCTTGATGGCTGTTTCTTAGGAACAAGTTTGGTAACTTCAATGGTTACTTCTTCAAGCTTCGATGTAGTTTTGTCTAGTTTGGCCGCTTTCAGCTTTTTCTTTATAACTGTGGCTGTTTTGAGATCAGTATGCTGCTCGGAAACCAAAGTAAAACCAAGTGAAACGTCATCTGGGGCTGTTTCTCCAATTTTGTCCGAAAGCCCCGAAATCTGGTCAGCTATTCCCGAGGGTTTTCGACTTAATCGTGTTTTCCTTTGCTTGAATCTTCCGCTTTGATTAGTGAAAATTTCGATCTGTGAGATATCAACTGGATATGTGAAATCGACCTCTGAAGACAACTGTAGAAAACCATGTGGTAGATTAGAAACGACTGGCGTGTGTGCAGCTGGTTGAAACATAATTATTTCAATTTTATTAGTTTCATCCACTTGCGATTTCCTTTCCTTGGCAGTTATCTTTTTTGTTACCCCAATGGGAGTCCTCATTATCTCTTCTTCAACTTCGTCTATGGTTTCCACCAAACACTGCACGGCGTCATCTTCATCTTTCGGTCTTTTGCTTTGCTTGGTCTTTTCCCTCCACGGAATTTCCTGCACTAACATTTCGTAGCTCTGTGGTGACAAACTACATTCAGTGACCACCTGCTCAATCACTCCTGACGGCTTCCTCGTGCTTCTTATTGTTTTTCGTTTCGGCGTACCCTTCAGATCTACGAATAGTTCGCTTGTTTGAAGTACGACATCTGAGGAAGAAATAAACTCAAGGGTGACCCGATTGAAAACATCAAGCTCAGGATAACCAAGCGACGATACATCGATTGCTGTATCTGAGATTCCCCTTTTTGGTGTAAAAGTTACCACTTCAATAGTTGATGCTTCAATGTCATCGGTTAACGATCCTTTTCGTTTAGTTCTTGTGATCGTTGCTAGGTCGAAATCGATTGTTTCTACAACTTCAGCTGATTTGAAATGATCTAAATTTTCGATCCGTCTGTCAGACTTTCTCAGTTCGGTGACCTGCTCGATACATCCCGATGGCTTGTGGACAGTACTTATTTTCTTAAGCATATGCTTACCACTTTTATCTGTCACCTCTTCAGCCTGTTCTACGACAATTACTTTGTTCATGTCTACGTCAGTGTATTTTGGTAAGGGCAAAAGCTCGTCCGGCAGCTTCCTAACATGAGGACTTTTAGGTTCAAAGGTAACAATTTGAAGATCAACCACTTCCATATTGCCTTCTGATGTAATCATTTTAAACTTAAAAGCTTTGATACGTTTTTCCCCCTCATATGTTTTCTCTATTTGCTCAGGTATTTCTTCGTCGTTTTGGCGTCGTTCAAGAGGAGCCGCATTTTCCGTATCCCTTTCCTCTATAGCAATTTGCTCTGGCCGCAGTTGCTCTGTTTCGAACGTTTTTTCCACTATTTCTGATGATCCTTCTCCCAAGGCAACATAGGTCTCAAAAGAAATTCTTTGTTCAGTGATCAACTGTTCAATAGTTCCACACGGTCTGCTTGTGGTTTTTGTCACCTTCTTCTTTGGAACACCGTTCAAGTCAACGAAGATTTCGCTCTTCTCGACAACTATGTCCTCACCGGGTGAGACCTCCGATTTCAAAGTCACAACTGGAATAATATTTAGATCCGGATAACCTAGAGACAAAGCCTTGATGTCTCTAGGCGCAACAACCTCTTTTGACGAGAACGTTAAGATTTGAACAGTAAGATCATCGTGAGAAAGCTCAGCTTTAGGTTTCAATATTTTCCTGGTAAGCTTTGAGGAGCCAATGTCAATGGTCTCCTCAGACATGATAATATTGTCAATATTTTGTGGCTCTTCACGTGGCTTCTGGACGAGCGTCTTGATCTCTGTAAGCTGTTCTATAACTCCCGAGGGTTTTCGAAGGGTTTTAGTTTTCTTCACCTTATTTTTTCCTCTAATATCAACAATTTGTTCAGCATTTTCTGTTACAATCGGCTGGTCCATATCAATTTCAGCTCGTAAGGACAGGGGTTGAATATCTTCAACTAATCGACCGATATCAACGGTTTTCGGTGTGAAAGTAATAAGTTCTACTACAGTGATCTCTTGATTACCTCTGCCTGTTGGCTTCTTGACTGTTACAGTTTTTTTTGCTATTACTGCCGTTGGCGTCTCTTCCTTCTCTACAGGGGCGCCCAGGAGCTCCTCGCAAGTATGGAATTCGCCAGGTTGTCCTAGGCTGTACGTGCTTTTTGCTAGGAGGTCTCTAGCTAATAATTCGTACGTCTGACTTAGCATTTCGACTTCTGTGAGTGTTTGTTTGATGATACCGGAGGGTTTTTTGATCGTTCTGAGGGTTCTCTTTATTGGCTCACCTTGTAGATTAACTAAAATTTCACTTCGCTCTACGAAAATGTCTTCTGAGCTTGAGGGCTTAGAGTTGATAGTGATTTTGGGAAGCACATCGAGTTCAGGGTATCCTATGGAGGTAATATCGACATTTCTTTTCGGCGCGTCATGTTTGGGTATAAACGTCGTTACCTCTATTAGGACATTGTCTGTTTCGGTAAAAGATCGTCTTTTTATGGGCTTCAATTTCTTTTTAACAATTTTGCCAGTCCCAAGGTCAAATATTTTTTCGGATAAAACCACGCTTTCTGGTTCTTCTGGCCTCATGAAATGTTTCTCTACTTCTTTTACTTCACCAACCTGTTCAATTATACCAGAAGGTCTATAAATAGTTTTCGTACGCTTGGCCACAGGTTTACCGTGACTGTCCACAATTTCTTCAAGCTGCTCGACAATAACCGCATGATCTTTATCAAATTCTGACAGCTGGGACAGAGGAATGATTGCTTTAGGCAAATCTACAGGATTGTACGTTTTAGGCTCAATGATCACCATGGAAAGTTCTAATAAACTGTCCTCAACTGGCGCCTTACGTTCTCTAGGTTTGACCCTTTTGGTCTTTATAGTTGCCTTGGATGTTTCCTGGACGCTCATTGGCAACTGTTCAAGCTCTGGAGGCATTTTAAGATGTTCTGGTTTTCTAATAACTTTTCTTTGAGGCTCTTTTAGGCTGAGCTGGCTCAAGTAATCTTGTTCGGGAACTACACTGTCAATAGCCATTCTGTAAGACTGGACAGACATAGAACGTTCGGCGATGATCTGTTTAAAAATTCCAGAGGGTTTTCTGGTAGTCACGACCGTTTTCTGTATTGGTTTGCCCCTTGAGTCTACGAAGATTTTACTGGTTTCGAAAACGATATCTTCCCTAATCGAAGGCTGACATTCGATTGTGATAGAAGGCAATATATCTAGCTCAGGATAGCCAAGTGAAGATACATTGATTTCGTGCGGTTTTATTCCCTTCTTCGGAATAAGGACAACGGCTTCGATTTCTAGGTCCGTTGTATCTATATTCCAAGGCTTTCGCTTCGGAATCAGCTTTTTCTTTGTTAACCGCGCTGGTCCGAGATCAATGGTCTGCTCAGATAAAGTAGTTGTTTCAAGCATATCCTTTTGTTCTGGCAGTTTTTCGACCTCCTCAATTTCAGTTATCTGCTCAATAATGCCAGAAGGCCTACGGAACACTGTAGTCTTTTTTACCATTGGTCTTCCTCGAACATCTACAATTTTCTCGATCTGCCCTGCCACTATTGTCTCTGTGGGAATTTCTTGAACTTCTTCGTCGATTAATATCTCCTTTGGCAAATCACTCATTCGATAATCCAACTTCTTAGGTTCGAAAGTTATTGACATAACTTGAACCAGCCTTTTTTTACCAAGTTGGGTAATCTTCCTTATTCTAGCCTCTTTTTGTCTGACAATAGCGACTGGAGTTTCTTTAACTTGCTCCGGAACGTCTTTTAGTATGTCACAGATTTTTACGCCCTCCGTGTTGTCTTCTGGAATGACAAGCCCTTCAAGAATTTCGTGCTTGACGTCG